GGTTCTTTTTGAAAATTCTGCAAGCTAAGTATTCTTCAACTGGTCACACTATCTCTAGGAGGTTTTCCCTTTGGAATGACCTTCCGGTAGTTGCAACATCACAAATGTAAAACAGAGATGACAGGCCTGCCACCTTTTTGGCTCTGACCTGCCACCTTTTTTGCTTTTATATGTGTTGTTGCATAAGGAACCTGTTGTGTCAAACTTTTCACATGGACACTCTACCATCCTCGCCAAAACAAAACTAAGCATGGCACATCATTGTGCTGTGGTGTTTTTGTGTGCCTTGCAAATTCTCCTTTGCATAGAGAAAACGAACCATGAACGTAACCAACAGAGGGGATAAAAGATCAAGAGTCCTGAAAATTCCAAGAAACGGATCTCCTTGTAGAAAGGTCCTACTGCTGAAGCTGCAAAATGCATACATCATGTGATTAATAACTTGCATATCAGATGTAGATATCAAACAATTTGGGATGCAAAGCAAGGCAAAAAGTAAATGAAATCAGCAAAAGACAATGTCCATGGATGCATCTAACAAAACATTAGCTTATTTGTTTTGGTTGTCAAATGGCTGCAGTATTCCTAAGTTATTACATACATTTGGCTCTTTACAGATCAGGTCAGTATTAAAATTCCATTACTGATTTCAGTTCATCATCATATCACATTAGTCCCACCAGTTTTAACTCAAAGTTTATTCTCAAGTCTCCATTAAGGTTGCACCAACTATCAGTTTGTATATTTGTTTATCCAAAAGGATCCCAAAATCTGCTTCAAATATTTGAATATGAACTGTATGCCATACGACTAATTGCATTGAAAAGCCAATCAAAGGATTTAGAAGAAATAACCAGATTCAAAATTAAATCTTGCTAAACCTCAAACAGTATTTCTTTGGTCTATAGGATTAACTTCTCGTAACCGGCATTAGTAAAGCGGGGCAATTTCTACTCTTATCAAACTCATGAGATCAGAAGTCACATAAACTGACTACCAACACCTCAACTACAGAGGGACCTATTTTCAATTAAGAAAAACCTATATTGCCAAAAGACAAAATTTTGAATAAAGATGCTTAATATTTTATTGACACAGCAAAGAATCATAATTTCTTATAAACTCTAACGCTATTTTGAGATGGTCTGAAACTTTTACTTTGGAATTCAACAAATTAGTGACTTCAATTGATTCAAACAACTAGATAATCCTAAGTTATCCAAATTTCAATATTAATGAGAAAAGGAATGATGTGAAGAATTTTCTTTCGTTTTTTCATGTCAGTAGGTTGTTGTCTGGAATATGGAAACACTGCAAACTGAAAGCACACCAGAGGGCACTCCTTGATAATTACTGATGTTCGATTTAGACCAAATTCAACTCAGTTGGCAACTTCTTCATTTGACACAAGAACCTGTCCCTTTTGACTTCTGCTTTCATTATTTTATAGCTTCTACTTCTGTAAAAATGCTCCCTGATTTGCTTCAATTATATTTAATATTTCTTAGGATGTCTAGAAATAGAAATATATCCCTGGCATGAGACTAGCTTTCTTTCTTTACTGATAGGACCCATAAATTGCCTTCAGCAGGAAAGCTGAAAGGTGATCAACTTAAAAACAGCTGCAAACATGCAACAAGCTAGGCAGTATACACTTTCAGTAAGCATAAGCAAACATTCTGCACAGCATATCTCACGTTAATTCCTTTAAAAACTAGGCAAATATGACCAATTTAGTCATATTTTTAAAAAAAAAAAAAAAAAAAAAAAAAAAAAAAAAAAAAAAAAAAAAAAAAAAAAAAAAAAAAAAAAAAAAAAAAAAAAAAAAAAAAAAAAAAAAAAAAAAAAAAAAAAAAAAAAAAAAAAAAAAAAAAAAAAAAAAAAAAAAAAAAAAAAAAAAAAAAAAAAAAAAAAAAAAAAAAAAAAAAAAAAAAAAAAAAAAAAAAAAAAAAAAAAAAAAAAAAAAAAAAAAAAAAAAAAAAAAAAAAAAAAAAAAAAAAAAAAAAAAAAAAAAAAAAAAAAAAAAAAAAAAAAAAAAAAAAAAAAAAAAAAAAAAAAAAAAAAAAAAAAAAAAAAAAAAAAAAAAAAAAAAAAAAAAAAAAAAAAAAAAAAAAAAAAAAAAAAAAAAAAAAAAAACGTTCCTCTTGTTAATGGGACTAGCACCGGGTGCCGATTCTGGAGTGTAGACTGTCAATTCTTTGAAGACCTCACTGCAAGTTACAGTTTTGTCTTGTCAGGACAAGCAACACCAGTAAAACCACCATCTGCCAAAAAAAATGGTAAGTCTAGCTGCCAATTTTGATATCTGTGCTTCACAAGAGACAGTTAATGTGCAATTAAGCAACAGACTTTAACCAGAAACAAATGAGCCAAATAAATAATTAATATATGCAGCTAATTAAATATTAGTCTATAAATTATGCAGGACATAAGTGGTTGTGGGTTGGCATTGCTATTGCTGCTGCAGTACTTGTAGTGGTGTTCTGCATCTATATGCTAAGAAGAAGAATAGTTTCAGGTATAAATAATCTTTAAGCCTCGTGCATTTGTTAGACAGAATTTGCACGTTTGACATTGTTGACCTAAATTCAAATCTTTTCTCCACCAATCTAAATAAATAGGCAAGAACAGAGCAAATATACAGGACAAAATGCTTAGCTTCTTGAAACATTCCAACAGACCTACTGATGAAGAAAATATGGGACAGCATGATTTAAACATATTTACCTATGAATCTGTTTTGGCTGCCACTTGCAACTTCTCTCAAGAAAACAAGCTCGGAGAAGGGGGATTTGGACCTGTTTATAAGGTAAGGCCTTGCGTACTAAACTGTGTAGTGATTTCTTTTCTTTTTTGAAACAATTCAGGATATTGTTGAGAATCTATTCAGGGAAAATTAGCGAATGGAAGAGAAATAGCCGTGAAGAGGCTTTCAAAATGTTCCGGACAAGGAACGTCAGAGTTTAAGAATGAATTGATACTCATACATGAACTTCGACATAGAAACCTTGTTCAGCTCTTTGGATTTTGCATTCATGAAGAAGAGAGGATGTTGATATATTAGTACATGCCAAACAAAAGCTTGGACTACTTTTTATTTGGTTGGGAATTAAAACCATTTTAATCATAGTGCTTGATTTCATTTGTTATTTGATTTTTCATCACTGTCAAAATATGTAGATTACAAATAGTATTCTTCCTTAACTCTATATGTGACAGTTTCAATCAGAGGTGTGCTACTAGATTGGAAGAAGCGTTTCAATATAATTGAAGGAATCGCTCAGGGATTGCTTTACTTGCACAAGTACTCGAGAACGCGAGTAATTCATAGAGATTTAAAAGCTAGTAACATACTACTTGATGAAAATATGAACCCTAAAATTTCCGATTTCGGTATGGCAAGAATTTTCTCCCACGATGAATTGGAAGAAAACACCAGCAGGATTGTCGGGACACGGTTAGTAAAATGTCTGTGTGTTCACATTATTATCATATGTTCTACTTTTGGTTGCTAAACATGCATGTTTGAAATATATGTATTATGTACTAATTAAAGCCTTTTCCTTTTCACTTGGTGCAGTGGTTACATGCCTCCTGAGTCTGTGGAGGGAATTGTTTCTGTAAAATCTGATGTCTACAGCTTTGGGGTGTTGATGCTTGAAATCATAAGCGGGAGGAAAAACAACAGCTTCTACAATGATGACCGCGCACTCAATTTAGTAGGATATGTATGTCAAACAAATCTTTGCATTTATAATTTCTTCTTCTCAAGGTGTGAATTCAACCATTCTGATATCCTAAATGCTTATATATTTCAGGCATGGGAGTTATGGAAACAAGGTTCAGGGCTAGAATTAATGGATCAAATGGTAGGTGATTCATCATGTATTGAAGATCAATTGTTAAGATGCATCCATATTGGTCTGTTATGTGTAGAGGAAGATGCAGCCGATCGGCCTACCATGTCAGATGTGATTTCTATGTTGACAAATGAAAACCCACCATTAGCCTTACCTACAAAGCCAGCATTTTTTGTTGGGAGGAAATTGGTGGAAGCTGGTATAGGTGAAAAGCAACATGAAATTACATCAGTGAATGACTTGTCCATTTCCAATTTTGATGCACGTTAAGTTTGATCTTCAGAGGGTGCTAGCTTGTGTGTTCCTGTATTAAAAAGATTATTATCCTCTTTACACATATTTCTTGCGTATTAAGTTTTTATAATTTATTAAATTGGCATTATGTATAACAACTTCACTAGTTATTCATGTGTGCATTACTATGTATAAATCTTTATATCGGTTGCCCATTGAGAATATATGTATCGATCATGATGTTGACAGATGAAGTGCTATAATAGAATTGGAGAGTGACTTTCTTTCAATTAAAATTTCCATTTTATGTTTTGTTAGATACAGAACGACTAAACGACACTAAGTTTATGGAAAGAAATTTGTCTCAAATGTTGAGGCCTCGTTTGGTGGCTCAGCTTGGACTGCCTTGCACTGGAATAATAATAAATTTTTTCTTTCCTCCCTTTTTTTTTTAAAAGGGGGGGGGGGGGGGTTTTTTTTTTTTAAAAAAAAAAAAAAAAATTTTTTTTTTTTTTTTTTTTTTTCCCCCCAAAAAAAAAAAAAAAAAAAAAAAAAAAAAAATTTTTTTTTTTTTTTTTTTTTTTTTTTTTTTTTTTTTTTTTTTTTTTTTTTTTTTTTTTAAAAATTTTTTTTTTTTTTTTTTTCCCCCCCCAAAAAAAAAAAATTTCAAAAAAAAAAAAAAAAAAAAAAAAAAAAAAAAAAAAAAAAAAAAAAAAAAAAAAAAAAAAAAAAAAAAAAAAAAAAAAAAAAAAAAAAAAAAAAAAAAAAAAAAAAAAAAAAAAAAAAAAAAAAATTGCTAACATTGGGCAGGCCTTGCATCTAGAGGAAGGTTTTGACTAACAAGTGGATGTGTTCCTCCATAGCCAATTAAGTACAATCATTCATTAATTTATCACTCTTTATTTATTAGCATTGCAAATTATTGTTTTTTTTCCCACAAACACCTCCATCTCTTTCCAAGTCTTCCATCCGGATAATAGGATAATAACATATGAACGTCTCTTCCATGCCACGGATGGATGGTGTGCAGTAGACTAGTATGAGTATGAGGCAGTCAAAGTCAGCTTCCTGTAAACATGTTAGAAACTTGATTTTAAAAATATTCTCTAGTATTGTCAGCCACTTGACCTTAAAGAGATGGATTGTTGTGATTGCTTCCATGTTTCTCAGCTAAGCTTTCATGATCAACTTAATTTTCTTGATCACTATTGAAGCTTGTGGACCTGTCATGATGCTGCAGCAAGCAAAATTAGGGACACACTCAAACCAGGAGAGACACCATTGAAACATACAATTTCGTAACATCATTTTAAGGTTTGGGGCTGAACTACCACTTTAGTCCATTGGACTAGAGCTATTTCTTCAATTATTTTATTGGTACAAGCGATATTGGGGAATGAGAATTTAAATTCTTTCCAATACCTCTCATTCTAATGATTTCCAGCTATTAGCCCATTTGGCAAGAATTAAAAAAATGAATTTTATTTATAACAAATAACACGGGTTTAACCCATAAATTTAACAACAAAAAATAGGATGTCAATGAACTCGAGGTCTATCCTTCTTCTAAAGCATTTTCAGCTAATGAAGTCACAGTCCTTTTACACTAATGGAGGCTCGATAAACGATATTTCATGTTGGTATGTTAATATGGTGCTTTTGAAATTAGTTTGAAAAGTTAAATATAGTTAAGAGATTCCCAACCCATGCGTTAGCAAATGCACCCTCTAATTTATTTATTTTTCTTTGGAGTTGAGGTGGAGTTCACACAACAGAAACACAGATATAAAAGCTTAAATGAATTAGATTTTTAACTTGAGGTGGTGTAATATTTCTTTTTTCTTTTTTTCTTTTTTCTGTTCTTTGGTGGGTTGGTTTTGGGTTCCTATGCAACAAGAGGAGGAGACAAATCTTTCTTTCTTTTTTCTCTCAGCAAACAAGAGGACATGATCAAATGTCAAAATGTATAACAGAAATGCAATATCCAAAGAATGAAAAGCAGTCCAACCAAGAAGAAACTAGCAAATATTAGTGAATCAGCAAAACTTATGAATTTAGCAAATAAAGAACCTGAAGCCAGTTTCAGCAGAAAAAACTTACTTGTGTAATATGAAGAGCCTGCCCGAGCCGCTGAATTTGAATCCATTGTTCTGTAACAATGTCAGCCATCTGAAAGCAAAGAGAAAGAAGCCAATGGCAAGATGAACACCACACTAACAACATCAAACACTCATAGCCATAGACCAAAGATGGATTGAGTACATCAGTGCATGACCTTTTGAGCCTGAGAGGCAACCATTTCGAGTCTGTCCTCGGCATCTTGTGCTTTAGACTCTAAAATGTGAAGGTCGAAGTTGTACTTTCTTGATGCAGCCCACAGAAGCCGTACCTAAAAAGCATTGCAAAGCCCATTTCTCAAATCCAACAAACCCTTTCTGTTACTTTTTCATTGAATTGAAAATTGCAAAAAATAAATTGAAAAATATGCGAACCTCTTCTTCTAGAGCATTAAGCCTCTCATAAGTAGCCAATGGGTCTCTCTGTGACATACAAATGCAACCAAATATTATATATTTGCTTTCAATTTAGCATATACTTGGAAGCTGAAGATTTTAAGCTGAAACGGGAAACAAACCTTAAGAGTGAACAAAACAGACTGCAAATGATGTATCTGGGTTTAACAGAAGTATGGAACTCAAGGAATGTGAGATGTTGTGCATGAAGAACTGCTCCTGCACAGCTTGTGCAAACTTGGATACCAGGGATGGAGGAAGTGGGTGCCTGCTGTGGTTTAGTGAGCTGATTGATGTAAGAAATTTTACTGAAAATGGGCAAGATATTTATTTTAGAATGGCAGCATCAGAACTAGGTATCGAGTCATTTTTAATCTCAAAAGTCAGTGTGTTAATGCAAATTTTAAAGAAAACAAGAGAAAAAAGAAACATCTTTGGATATGGAACAGTCAATTGGGAGTTATCCATCTCTTCATGATCATGTACAAAAAGTAAAGTCAAAACATATCAAACCCAAAGGTTGTTGCTCTATAATTTTGGATTTGGACACAATTATCAAACTCTACTTTCAAAATTCGTCTGTTAAGATCAATGGATGATAGACATTACAGAAATTTTTTTTTTCTTTCTTTATCAATATCTAACTTCTCACTCTTTTTGCTTTCAAATATAGTTCCTGCCTAGATCATGAAGACTATACAACAATCAGTGCTAAACCTGCTAAACCCAATTTCCGCCCCGGGGGCTTAGACCACTTGGGTTATATTTTATAGTCTCATTGAATGTGGAGAAAGTAAGAATCATAGTAGGCAGTATTGTGTCATCTCCTGGGCTCCTCCTGGGTGTAGCTCTGTTTTTTCTAATGAAATTAGGTGTGAACCATAGAAAGGCCACATTTGGTCTATTTCATCATGGTCAACTCACTCCAACCCAGCGCCAGGGCTTTTCACCCTTGATTGGGACCCCAATGGACAACAATTGAATATCAAGAAAAGTGGGGTGGTTTATTGGACAAGCGGAATCTTTACAACAATTAAGGGAAGATTTGATTTGATTTTGCCTGACGAACCCAAGGTGAGGTATAATTTCAGCATTGTCTCGAATGAGAATGAAGACTATCTCATTTACACCGCTGCAGATGATCCCCCCCCCCCCGGGGAAAAAAATTTTAAAAAAAAAAAAAAAAAAAAAAAAAAAAAAAAAAAAAAAAAAAAAAAAAAAAAAAAAAAAAAAAAAAAAAAAAAAAAAAAAAAAAAAAAAAAAAAAAAAAAAAAAAAAAAAAAAAAAAAAAAAAAAAAAAAAAAAAAAAAAAAAAAAAAAAAAAAAAAAAAAAAAAAAAAAAAAAAAAAAAAAAAAAAAAAAAAAAAAAAAAAAAAAAAAAAAAAAAAAAAAAAAAAAAAAAAAAAAAAAAAAAAAAAAAAAAAAAAAAAAAAAAAAAAAAAAAAAAAAAAAAAAAAAAAAAAAAAAAAAAAAAAAAAAAAAAAAAAAAAAAAAAAAAAAAAAAAAAAAAGACATTACAGAATTTCTTTTTTTCTTTCTTTATCAATATCTAACTTCTCACTCTTTTTGCTTTCAAATATATTTCCTGCCTAGATCATGAAGACTATACAACAATCAGTGCTAAACCTGCTAAACCCAATTTCCGCCCCGGGGGCTTAGACCACTTGGGTTATATTTTATAGTCTCATTGAATGTGGAGAAAGTAAGAATCATAGTAGGCAGTATTGTGTCATCTCCTGGGCTCCTCCTGGATGTAGCTCTGTTTTTTCTAATGTTTGGAAGAAGAAGCACCAGATAGATGGTAAGTTGTTTTCTAGTCTTCTTTGGAAAATAGAGAGCAACTTGGTTATTTGAAAATTTAACTACAATGGCCTATCGCAATATAGATGACATGATGTTAGAATTGAAAAATAATAAGAAATGTGTGTCAAATTATAGGATAGCACCTCCCAATTGGAGATTCTCTTATTGGTACTTCTCTTGGGCCTTTGCCTATTAAAGTCAAATGTGGGGTTCATCTCTTCTACTCTTTTTTTCCCCCCATTTGGCAACTCACTTAAGTATTAACTTGAGGGGGACAAAAAAAACTGAAAGAGAGAAAAAGATAGGAAGAATTAAAACAAGTAAACAATTCAAAAAATTAGTGTATAGAAACTCTTTTCATTGGCATAACTTTGATTTTTTGGCTAGGATCTTTTCCTTCTTTTAATCAATAAGAGAAGGAAATTTTGATTTAAGTCTTCTTTTCAAATTAGAAATAAAAAATATTGTTAGTGCAAGGTTAACTGAATTTTATTTTATTTTTTCCAAAGTTAAAAGGAAGATGAGGTTTTCTCACATACTGTCTAAGTGTCATGGATGTTAGAACTTGAGATCACTGATTTACAAATCAAGATCTTTTTCACTAGATTATAACCCGTTGGCCAGGTTAACTAATTGGCTAGCAGGTTGGTGCCCTTTTACCCCCTCTATCACTTAAACCGCAAGAAACGCGCATGTCTAAACAGAGAAAAGCTTCAAGAGTCAACCAAAGAAAAGAAGAAAACTAGATCGAGTTTGTTTTTATGAAAAACAAAACAAAAGCCCCATGTCTTTGAAGTGTGATTTGCCCATACATTTACATTCTACGAAGCATGGTGTCCAAATTATTTTGGTAAACGAAGCAACAACCGCACGAGACGTGGGCCGGGGGTGCTTCTCGAGACCGGAACTTCCTTCCTATTTAGCTTCAAAAGCTTGGAGTTGAGGTGGAGTTCACACAACAGAAACACAGATGCTGATACAAGAACAAATATAAAAGCTTAAATGAATTAGATTTTTCACTTGAGGTGGTGTAAAAAAAAAAAAAAAAAAAAAAAAAAAAAAAAAAAAAAAAAAAAAAAAAAAAAAAAAAAAAAAAAAAAAAAAAAAAAAAAAAAAAAAAAAAAAAAAAAAAAAAAAAAAAAAAAAAAAAAAAAAAAAAAAAAAAAAAAAAAAAAAAAAAAAAAAAAAAAAAAAAAAAAAAAAAAAAAAAAAAAAAAAAAAAAAAAAAAAAAAAAAAAAAAAAAAAAAAAAAAAAAAAAAAAAAAAAAAAAAAAAAAAAAAAAAAAAAAAAAAAAAAAAAAAAAAAAAAAAAAAAAAAAAAAAAAAAAAAAAAAAAAAAAAAAAAAAAAAAAAAAAAAAAAAAAAAAAAAAAAAAAAAAAAAAAAAAAAAAAAAAAAAAAAAAAAAAAAAAAAAAAAAAAAAAAAGTGCCCGAGTAGGCGAGGTGCCCTAATGTTGTGATCGGAGGTACGGTACCGAAGGTAAGCGCCGAAGGCACACGTAGCCCTGGCCTAGTCCACGTGGTTGATGTTCATTGGGTGTTCATTTTGGTATAAACAAAACCCAAATCCAATCAAGCCCACACAAACCAATAAATTTCGGTTTAATTTGGGTTGGGCTAATGGGTTTAGCCCATATTAAAATATTTAAATTAAAATAAATTGTTGCATCACATTTTGATCGATGGACTGACGTGTCTGAATCTGATGAATATACCTCGCAATTGCCTTGTGCTTTCTGGTTGGGCCACATCAGAGTCTACCAATCCAATGATAAAGAAGAGGATGTCAGAAGAAAATTCAAAGAGAAGACTTGAGGTCAAATTAAGGGGCAGGAAACCATCTAGACCTAGTATATTTTTAAGTCAAAAAACCATCTTTTCTTTCCTTTAAGACAAAGTTGTAGTTACTTGTTGTCAGTAGAGCAAGAAAAATGGGTTCCTCAAGATCATTGCTTTTCTTCATTAATCTTGCTATTATTATCTTAAACCTTGTTGCTCCCACCATATCCCAAGATGATGGTATGTGCACAGAAAAAGCTGAGAACTGCTGGAAGTGCTCTGATACTGGCACCTACACAGCAGGTGACAAGTACCAAGAGAACCTCAACAGCCTCCTCTATTCCTTCTCCTCCAACACCCAAATCAATTCCGGGTTTTACAATTCATCCAGGGGATAAGACTCCAACAAGATCAATGCAATTGCATTATGCAGAGGAGTTCTCTCACAGAACTCTTGTCAGGCTTGTCTCTACAAGTCTACTGATATTCTCTTGCAAAATTGTTCAACTCAAAGGGAAGCAATCATATGGGCAGAGCGCTGTACGGTTCGATACTCAAACATATCGATTTTCGGTGTGCTTGAAGATAAGCATGTTAAGTTTGTGCCGAGCCCAAATACCGTATCAAACTTGAACAGTACAATCAGGGGCTCAACGTCTTCCTTGGGAATTTAAGTGAGAAAGCTGCAGCAAGGGACTTTGTTTCAAAATTTGCAGCAGGGAATGCGCTGGTGCCTTGTTGGAGCAGGATTTCTTTCCAGAAGAAATACCTCCACATGTTCTTGACTGAAGTCCGCACGATTCTTTGGTTGAAAGAGAACTCCGGATTACGTTCCCGAAGTCGAACGATGGAAATGGAGCGAGTACTTGCAAAAGTCACTCCGACGCTCAAGTCAATGTTTTTGCAACGTACTCTTAGTGTTCTACTGAATTTCTCGTACCTTTGCTAGAGGTTTGGCTGGGTTTTTATAGCACTCTGAGGTCTTGGGTTTAGCCCCACTTCCCTAGCTTTGTGCATCCCGTCCTCCACTTCATGGTAATGGGATCAGACGAGTGATTTGTGTCTCCCTTGTTCCGCACTCCTCGGGAAGTTCGATCATCCCACGTCTTTTGGTTGTGGCATATGGGTTAGGCCACGATACGTTAGATTTGATCCCCACAGTGCCCCCATTTTTTCCTCTCTACATGCTTCGCGGGTAGAGAGAGAAAAATGATCTAAGTGGTACTTTGGAACATGATTTCTTCGAATTGGGTCCATATCGCCGTGATGGGCTCATGGCTGAGCCCAACATAAGCCATACTCTTTCTTGGGCTTGTTGGTTAAACCCCAAAAATGTGATTCCTATTGGTCTATCACCAACTCATGCATGTCGTTTCCACACCTTGCATGTGAAATATCCAAATATGAATTTTCATGCACATTGCTAACTTTTCAAGTTTCAACTGTGGACTGTTATCCCCATGTGGAGCATCCAAATGCGGACAGCCAATCCCATGCACAAGTGAATCCTTTTCTTTATTTTGGATTTCTGTAACTTTGCCAATCTGGTGGGCCCCATGATCATTGCTTTCTCTTTGCTAGCCGATCCCAGCCCCAGTTGGTTTTGAGCTTTTGCCAATCCGGTGGGTCCCATACCTCTTGGTTTCTCTCTCCTGGCCGATCCCATCTTCACTTGGTTTTGAACTTTTGCCAATCCAGTGGGTCCTATACCTCTTGGTTTCTCTCTCCTGGCCGATCCCATCTTCACTTGGTTTTGAACTTTTGCCAATCCAATAGGTCCCATACCTCTTGGTTCTCTCTCCTAGCCAATCCCATCCCCACTTGGTTTTGAGCTTTTGCCAATCAGGTGGGTCCCATACCTCTTGGTTTCTCTCTCCTGGCCGATCCCATCCCCTCTTGGTTTTGAGCTTTTGCCAATCCGATGGGCCCAAATACCCCTTAGTTCTCCTTCCGGACCTGTTGCACCTTCAGTCTCTCAACCAATGCCAAGGTGTTTCACGACCTTTTTTTTTTTTTTTCCTTTTTTTCATTTTTCATTTTTTCCTGCGTTTCAGCTATCCATACAGGCCCCAATACCCTTTAGTTGTCCTTCTGAACCCGTGCGCCTTTGGTCTCTCAACCGATCCAAGGTGTTCACCCGTTTTTTTTTTTTTTTTTTTTTTTTTTTTTTTTTTTTCCTTTTTGCGCTTCAGCTATCCATACAGGCCTAATACCCCTTAGTTGTCCTTCCGAACTCGTGTGTCTTTGGTCTCTCAACCAATCCAAGGTGTTCATGACCCTTTTTTTTTTCCTTTTTCCTGCGCTTCAGCTATCCATACAGGCCCCAATACCCTTAGCTGTCCTTCTGGACCTGTGCGCCTTTGATCTCTCAACCGATCCAAGGTGTTCACGACCCTTTTTTTTTTCCTTTTTTCTTTTTCCTGCACTTCAGTTATCCATACATGCCCCAATACCCCTTAGCTGTCCTTCCGGACCCATGCGCCTTCGGTCTCTCAACCGATCCAAGGTGTTCACGCCCTTTTTTTTTTTTCTCTTCTTTTTCCTCACGCTTCTTCAGCTATCCATGCGGGTCCCCAATACCCCTTAGCTGTCCTTCCGAACCTTGGTGCTCCTCTCGGTCACTCCAACCAAGGTCTTCACCCAGCCCGTTTTTTTTTTTTTTTTTTTTTTTTTTTTTTTTTTTTTTTTTTTTCTTCTTTTTTTTTTTTTTTTTATGATGATCCATTCCGCCCAAGCAATCACTTCCCTCATATCCACTGGTGGGGTCTTCACTAAAGATCTGTGCATTTTTGTTCCAGGTATGACCCCCTCACGAAACGCCAGCGAAGCAGTATGAGAATCACATTCCTCAATAGTAGACATTTCCTTTGTAAAACGCCTCAAGTAGTCTTTAAGGCTTTCTCCGGTACTTTGCTTCGTGCTGAATAGGATCGTGACGTCCTTTCTTCTCTTTTGATTGCAAATGTACTGAGATATGAACATTTCACAAAGTTGGGTGAAACTGCCAATAGACCTTGGTTTCAGCTGTCTAAACCAAATCATGGCCGATCCTGACAAGCTTGAGGGGAACAACTTACATAACAGGGTCTCGTCATCTCCTTCGAGCACCATTTGTTGTTGGAAATGATAGATGTGTTTAATGGGATCAGTCGTGCCCTGGAACAGCTTAAACTTAGGTTGGGTGAACTTAACTGGCTTCTTGGCTTTCAGGATGTCTTCCGTGAATGGCGACTTGCAGATTCCTTTCGCCGCCTCCAAAGCTAGTTCAGCGGGTGTTTGTGGCTTGTACCCTCTGACAATCTTCTCGATCTGATTGCGCAAATCAGTGTCCTTTGCCCTTTTCGCCATTTTATGCAGGTCGAGATCTTTGTCTTGATCTTCTGTCGTGGCCTTGTCACGGACGCTCGAGTGTGTGTTGCTGGAGGAGTCTCCCTCAAAGATCTCATGTCTCTGCTTCCACTTGCCCTCTTTTGAGCCTTCACGGCAAGTAGTGTTCTGCGCTTTTTCTAGAGCTTTCTCCGCTACTTTTCTTGTTTCGCACAATTCTTTCATGATTTCCCTCAACTGGATAGTAGCAAGGCTTGGTTCCCCATCCTGGGCATTGGACCTCGCGCTTCCGGGTCGAGGAGTGGACATCGCATTCCCCGGGATGGAGGTGTTTAGAGTTCCCTGTGCAGGTTCAATCATATTTATGATCAACTTTGCGAGATTCCCACAGACGTCGCCAACTGTTGGAGCAAGATTTCTTTCAAGAAGAAATACCTCCACAAGTTCTTGACTGAAGTCCGCACACTTCCTTGGTTGAAAGAGAACTCCGAATTACGTTCCCGAAGTCGAACGATGGAAATGGGGCGAGTACTGCAAAAGTAACTCCGACGCTCAAGTCAGTGTCTGTGCAACGTACTCTTAGTGTTCCATTGAATTTCTCGTACCTTTGCTAGAGGTATGGCTGGGTTTTTATAGCGCTCTGAGGTCTTGGGTTTAGCCCTACTTCCCTATCTTTGCACATCCCGTCCTCCACTTCATGGTAATGGGATCAGACGAGCGATTTGTGTCTCCCTTGTTCCGCACTCCTTGGGAAGTTCGATCATCCCACGTCTTTTGGTTGTGGCATATGGGTTAGGCCACGATATGTTAGATTTGGTCCCCACATGCTTGTAACAAATCAAGCTATATGTGCAACTGTCCAGTGCAGCCCTGATTTGGACAAACAAAACTGCAGCTATTGCCTTAAAGAGTCCATCTCAGATATTCCACTGTGTTGCGGTGATGTGGATGGAGGAAGAGTTCTTAGACCCAGCTGTTATTTGAGGTTTGAGTCCAATCATTTCTATGAGTCTGGAGCAGGTACCCTAATAAACCTTCCAGGCGAACAAGGTATAATAATTTATTTTGTTTGTTAAAGACTGCAAGTATAGTGATGTAATCGGGAAAATTGAAATCACGGTGACTAAAATTGCTTTCGAGCCAAACCCTAATGACCAAAATTGTAATTAACCCTAAAATTTTATTTTCACAAAAAGAAAGGATTTGTTTTTCGGTCTGATACAGGATATAACAATTAAAGAATATAAATTGTTCATACAGGAAGAAGCAGATTCTTGACCCCAAAAAAAAAGGAAGAAACAGATTGTCTCCATCCATAATCATTGTCACCAGTATTGTTGCTCTTATTGCCGTCTCTATGTTACTTGTAGCTTTCTACTGCTTCTCACGCAGAAGATCAGTAAGAGACAAGTACAGTAACAGTACTGCCCCATGTCAAGAAAACGGGGAAAACCAAATTAAATATCTGAAATCCAAAGCAATATGTTTTCCTTATTTTGAGAAACTTATTATTTTGGATTTTGCTTAGTTGGGAATGATACAAACAGTGTCGAGTCCTTGCAATTTGACTTGGGAACTATTGAAACTGCCACCAGCAAGTTTTCTGACAATAACAAGTTAGGTGAAGGCGGATTTGGTGTCGTCTTCAAGGTATGAAAATATGAATTATATCCTCATTTTGTCTTGGAAATTCTTGATTCTTAATATACGGTGCTTACAGTTAGTTCAATTTGTACGTACAACTTAAACTTAATTAACATGAGTGGAGAAAGTGTAAGACAATTTATTGTCTTAATCCATAAAAGGTGATCTTCTAATCCTAAGAGGACTCGGGTTTTGGTTTGATCAGGAGATACAACTCAATCCTTATCAGATAATGCTTGTACAGAGCTTATTAAAATCAAACACAAGTATTATCAGGATTCCTAATACAACATGGATTGAAACAAACCTATTCTAATGCAAAAAGGACACTCGAATACTTCTTGATAGGCAAGGTTTCGTAGTGATGCATCTATAAATAGAGGTCCCTTCCCTTGCAGCAAACACGCTCTAAAATCAGTACTCACCCTATCTAAGAGACAGAGACATAAAGAGCTGCAGAGGGAAGAAGACTTTCTAGACGAAACCAGATTTCTCTTCTGCTTCAATGGCTGAACAAGGTTAGTATTATTGCATAAAGGCTTAGTACAGACTTACATGTGGTATCAGAGCTCTAGGCTTTTGTTCTTTAATCTGACTAATTGATCGTAAGCTATAAAGAATGCAGTTTTTCTTTTGTTTGTAAATCTTAACTGTTAAAAGAGCATAAGGTTATCTCTGCTCATAAAGTTTTGACCAAAATTTGAAAACTGCTATGCAGAATGAGTAAGCCACAGCTGCTCAGGCTGTGTAGGAGTTCTTGAATTTAACAGTTTGGTCAGAAAATTGCATCAGTGTTCGTAGCCTTCTATATGATTCTCCATCCACAGATGGAAAGTTGTACAGATTGATCACAGCACTTATGGAACAATCTGGACAGTTGATTGCACTGGCATGTGAGTATCTTTACATCCACAGATGTGAGTTACTTGCGCAGGAAGCTTGTACGATTAACTGTCTAGGATTTTGGAACATGTTTAAACTTAAACCCAAAGGTATGAGATAACATGTTTAAGTAAAGTTTAGGGACAGTTTTATTTAATTTGTATTGCAAATTCTACAGTGAATCACAACTCCATCGAAACCTTGACTGGTTCAAATTATAGCAAATGGAAACAAGATCTGGAAATATCTCTAGGTTTTCTGGATTACGATTTTGTGCTCAGAGAGGAACCTCCCCAGGAACCAGCTGCAGATGCTTCTGCAGAAACTAAGACTAAGTTTGCCAAATGGGAAAAGGCAAACAAGATGGCTATGTTAATCATGCAAAGGGCTATGTGAAAGGAAGCATTCCTAAATCTAAGAATGCACAGCAATACTATGAGTCAATTGCACAAAGGTTCAAGGAATCTGAAAAAGCTGTCAAGAGTTCCCTGCTGAATCAATTGATTGATATGAAGTATGATGGGACAGGGTTGTGTGAGAGCTCATATCATGAACTTGATTGACATAGGAACGAAATTACAAGAGCTGGATATGACAGTAGATGAGGACATGATGGTCCATTTTGCACTGAATTCATTGCCTAAAGAGTTTAAATCTCTCAAGGAAACCTACATTGCTCAGAAGGAGACCTGGACCTTGAATGATCTTATTACTATTTCTGTCCAACAAGAGCACAATATCATAAGAGAAAAGGGAGCCAAAATGGTCAACATGGTTCAGACTAAACAGAACAAAGAAAACAAGTATAAGCCTGCTGCTGGGAAAGAAAAGGAAAACAGTACAGATAAGGCTTTGAAACCTACAACTGGATTAGGTTGTTTCTTTTGCAAGAAAGCAGGACACATGAAGAGAGACTGCAGGAAATACAAAAAGTGGCTGGAAAAGAAGAAGGGAAAAGGTAATAACAATTTGATTTTGGTCTGTTTCGAATCTAATTTGGTTAATTTCTCAAGTGATTCATGGTGGTTGGATAGTGGTGCTTCTATTCATGTAGCTAATTCCTTGCAGGAGTTTACAAGCAAGAGGCTGCCAAGCAAGGATGAAGTGAAGGTGTTCGTGGGAAATGGAGAAGAAGTCCAAGTTAATTACATAGGGACAGTTAGAATCAAGTTAGAATTTGGTTTTGTTTTGGAATTAGATGAAGTAGTTTATGTTCCTTCTATGAAGAAAAGTTTGATTTCAGTTACTAGACTTGTAAAATCAAAGTTCAGTTTGAATTTTGATGGAACTGGTTGTTCTATTTTCAAAAATAAAGTTTTAGTTGGCAAAGCAAGTCTCATTGATGGAATGTTTAGATTAAACTGCAAAAGAACTGAAATGGAAATAAACACTGTGCAAACCAAAACAAATGAGATTTCCTTCAAATTATGGCATAAAAGACTTGGACATGTTTCAAAAGAAAGGATAACACAACTGTGTAAGGAATCTGTCTTACCACCATTGAATCATGAAAACGAAGATGAAGTTTGCATTCCATGTATCAAAGGGAAATTAACCAACTTAAGAAAGAAAGGGGCATTAGGAAGCAAAGGTTTACTGGAACTCATTCATACGGATATATGTGGACCCTTTCCAAATCCAACTCATGAGGGATTTAACTACTTTATAACTTTTACAGATGATTTTTCAAGATATGGATATATCTATCTCATTAAAGAAAAATCAAGTGCATTGGACAAGTTCAAAATTTATAAGGCTGAAGTAGAAAACCAGTTGAACTTGAAAATAAAGGTGGTTAGATCGGATAGAGGAGGAGAGTACTATGGAAGGTTTGATGAGACTGGAAGGAATCCTGGACCTTTTGCTAAGTTTCTTCAAGAAGAAGGAATTATAGCTCAGTACACCAACCCAGGTACACCTCAACAAAATGGAATTTCAGAAAGAAGAAACAGGACCTTGAAAGACATGATAAGGAGTATGATGAGCTGTACAAATCTGCCAATTTTTCTTTGGGGAGAGGCTTTAAAAACAGCCAACTATATTCTAAATAGAATTCCAACCAAAAGCATTAATAGAATTCCCTATGAAGTGTGGAATGGAAGGAAGCCTAGCATTAAACATCTGAAAATATGGGGCTGTAAAGCAGAAGCAAAACCTTACAATCCAGCAGAAAAGAAGTTGGATCCAAAAACCATAAGTGGTTTTTTTGTTGGCTATCCTGAAAGAACAAAGGGATACAGATTTTATTGTCCCAAACACACTACCAGATTCATAGAAACCTCAAGAGCAGTTTTTATAGAAACTGACCAAGAAATAGATGAGGGAGAAAGTTTTAGTTTTGAAGAAATAATCTTGAACCATGACATGCCACAGAATCCAAGTAAAGTAATTGTTAGATTACCTCAAATGGATTCAATCAACACTCAACTCGAACACACTGAAGAGACCAATGTCAATGAACCTGAAATTGCAGAACCAATGGAGTTAAATGAAAATCAAGCACCACCAGCAGAAAATCAAGACATGGCTCAAGCACAAGAAGTAGCAAATCCAGAACCAAACTTGGAACTAAGAAGATCACAAAGGCAAAGAAAACCTGCCTTAGGAGATGATTATTTTGTATACCTACAGGGAGTAGAACATGATGTGAATATCATGGAAGATCCTGCAACATTCAAACAGGCCATGACAAGTGAAAAGAAAGAAAACTGGTTTGCAGCAATGAAGTCAGAACTGAATTCAATGGAGAAAAATGGAGTCTGGAAGCTTGTGACCTTACCTCAAGGTTGCAAAACCAATTGGTAGTAAATGGATATATAAAACGAAACTGGACTCAAAAGGACAGATAGATAGGTATAAGGCAAGATTGGTTGCAAAGGGATTCACACAGAAAGAAGGAATAGATTTTAATGAGACTTTCTCACCGGTCTCGACCAAGGATTCATTAAGGGTTATCATGGCCCTTGTAGCACATTTTGACCTCCACTTGCACCAGATGGACGTCAAGACAGCTTTCCTAAATGGAGATTTGGAAGAAGACATATACATGGTGCAACCTGAAGGTTTTGTTCAAGAAGGGGGAAAGGACTTGGTCTGCAAGCTAAACAAGTCAATCTATGGATTAAAGCAAGCCTCTAGACAGTGGTACCTAAAGTTCAACAAGGTAGTGAAAGACTTTGGTTTTGTTGAAAATGTTTTAGATGAATGCATATACATGAAGATGAGTGGGAGACATTTCATTTTACTAGTTTTGTATGTAGATGAAATTTTACTAGCCTGCACAAATCTCACCATGTTACATGACTGCAAGAATTTCCTATCTAAGAACTTTGAAATGACTGATCTAGCTGAGGCATCTTATGTTTTAGGCATTGATATAAGCAGAGATCGAAAGAATGGGGTACTTGGACTATCACAAAAATCCTACATAGAAAAGGTGCTCAAGAGATTCAATATGCAAAACTGCACAGGAAGTGATATTCCTATTGCAAAAGGGGATAAGCTAAGCACTGAACAAGCACCTAAGACTGAGCAAGAAAAGCTGGAAATGGTTGACAAACCATATGCTTCACTAGTTGGAAGCCTAATGTATGCGCAGGTTTGTACCAGACCTGACTTGGCTTTTGCAGTCAGTGTGCTAGGAAGATTTCAGTCCAATCCTGGACAAGCTCACTGGATTGCAGGGAAAAGAGTGTTAAGATACTTGCAAAGAACAAAAGATTACAAACTAACATTCAAAAGAAGTGGCACGCTGGAATTACAAGGTTATGCAGATGCTGATTTTGCAGGATGTCAAGACTCCATGAAATCAACATCAGGTTTTGTATTCATGTTTGGAGGAGGTGCAGTGTCGTGGAGAAGTGTAAAACAACCTTTGACAGCAGGTTCAACTATGTTTGCAGAGTTTCTAGCATGCTATGAGGCCACCTCTCAAGCCATATGGTTAAGAAATTTCATTATCAGTTTGAATGTGGTTGAATCGATACACAGACCAATTCAAATATGGAATGACAACAGCGCAGCTGTTTTGTTTGCAAAAGGAAACAAAAGGACAAAGGGTTCAAGACTATTGGATGTCAAGTTCATAATAGTGAAGGAGAAAATTGCTCAAGGCTATACTAATATAAGTCATATCAGTACAGACAAAATGATAGCAGACCCTCTCACAAAAGGAGTCCCAAATGCAGTGTTCCATAGGCATGTTATGAGCATGGGATTAAGGAATGATTTGAATGCTTAAATCAGTGGGAGCCTTGTTAAGTTTAGAGTAGTTTTCTGTTAAAGTCTTAATTTACAGTTGGTCATGGTTTTCGATGGATGTTGATTTCAGTTTCTGATTCAGAAATAAAGTTTTCTAGTTAAACAGTTTACACGTTTAATTGTTATGTATATATATTCTTATAAACACTTGAATGAATTGAGCAGAAAGCTAGCTGAAGATGTCTGCATATGATTTTCATTCATGACAGGATATCATTTTAAATGATAAGACCTTAGTAGTCAAATTAAGGGACAATGAATAGACATGTTCATAAAGCTTTACAGTGAAACATGTTTATTTTTCTGTTTAATCTTGATGGAAGCTTATGTGGTTTTAAAGAATGATCAATGTGATTATAAAGACTCTGGATCCTTATATATTCAGTGAAGTCTTGATGGTTCCTTTTCATTCTTTAAAATTGACAATTGCTTGATGGAATCAGATTGAGTTATATTTCACCAAGGCCTTAAGTGATCAACACAAAACTTTGGGATTAATCGATCAAGTGGGAGAATGTAAGACAATTTATTGTCTTAATCCATAAAAGGTGATCTTCTAATCCTAAGAGGACTCGGGTTTTGGTTTGATCAGGAGATACAACTCAATCCTTATTAGATAATGCTTGTACAGAGCTTATTAAAATCAAACACAAGTATTATCAGGATTCCTAATACAACATGGATTGAAACAAACCTATTCTAATGCAAAAAGGACACTCGAATACTTCTTGATAGGCAAGGTTTTCGTAGTGATGCATCTATAAATAGAGGTCCCTTCCCTTGCAGCAAACACGCTCTAAAATCAGTACTCACCCTATCTAAGAGACAGAGACATAAAGAGCTGCAGAGGGAAGAAGACTTTCTAGACGAAACCAGATTTCTCTTCTGCTTCAATGGCTGAACAAGGTTAGTATTATTGCATAAAGGCTTAGTACAGACTTACAGAAAGCACCTCATATACCTTGTCAGGGAACACTTGCTAATGGACATGAAATAGCAGTGAAGAGGTTGTCAAAGAGCTCCAAACAAGGTGTACAAGAATTTAAGAATGAGGTTGCATTGGTAGCCAAACTTCAGCACAGAAATCTTGTCAGGCTTCTGGGATTTTGTTTGGAAGGAGAAGAAGCCATACTTGTCTATGAATATGTGCCAAACACAAGTCGACTATTTCTTTTTAGTACATGTTCATCATTTTGAAAACCCTTTGCAATTTCTAACTTGAGTAAAATAATCGAACTTTTATTTACTTGTGAGTGCAGAATCCAAAAAACGAGAACAGCTAGATTGGTCGAGCCGTTGCATGATAACAGGAGGAATCGCTCGAGAAATTCTATATCGTCATGAAGATTCAAGGCTTAGAGTTATACATCGTGACTTGAAAGCGAGCAATATCTTGTTAGATGGCAAGATGAATCCAAAAATATCAGATTTTGGCATGGCGGGAATGTTTGGAGTTGAAGATCAAACTCAAGGAAACACCAAAAGAATTGTTGGCACCTATAAGTTCCTTCATCTATCTAATTAATAATCTTAAATCTATATTTTGGCTTTAACCCACATGTCAATTATTTTGGCATTGCAATTAGCAGTTACATGGCTCCAGAATATGCCATGGAGGGATTGTATTCGGCAAAATCGGATGTCTTTAGCTTCGGAGTACTTTTGCTTGAGATCATAACGGGGAGAAGGAACTTTTTAGGCTTTCATCCAACAAATCATGCACCTACTCTTATAGGCTATGTAAGGTCTTTATTTGGGTTAGATTATACAAAAAGTTTCTCAAAAACTAATCAATGTAGCTATCAATTTAAGAGTAGTACTTACATCTTTGAAGGGTATTAATTGCAGGCTTGGCAGTTATGGAACGAAATGAAAGGGTTGGAGTTGATGGATCCGTTGTTGAAGGACTCATGCAGTCCAAATGAATTTTTTAGATACATTCATATTGGATTATTGTGTGTTCAATAAGATGCAAACAATAGGCCAACTATGTCATCGGTTGTTCTAATGTTAAAAAGTGAAACCATTAGTCTATCCAGACCTGAGAAACCAGCCTTCTTTACAGGAAGATCTACTGATCACCATGATCAAGAAAACGCTCATAATTGCTCAGCCAATGGTTTGACGATTTCTAATGACTTGCCCCGTTGAGGAAGATGACAATTAAGTAAAGATCATTGCATTCCATTAATTAAAGGCTTATGTTGCACACAAAGACTCAGACGATGCTGTAAGCTTTATATATTTTGTCTACTACAATTATGGAAAAACACGACCCGTAATAGACGACCGTAAAACTAAAAAACGTCGTGTTTTGAAAAACTATGAAAATCTACGACGGTTCCTGGAACCGTCGTGCTTTAAAAGGCGCAAATACAAATTACGACCATTCACTTCTAATACCGTCGTGTTTTAAAACGCGCTGGACAAAAATTTCATTTAAGTTCTAACTTTTCACGGACAGCTCTCTCTCTTTCTCAAACACTCACTCTCACGACCCTTTCAGAAAACCCTCTCTCCCTCTCTCAAACACCATCTCCATTGCGCCATCTTGGTTACGAGCTCGCCATCCAGGTCACAGATCTCGCCGTCCAGGTCACTGAGGTCGCCATCTTGGTTTCAATATCGCGCTAACTCTCTAGCTATCTTCACTCTGGCTCTCTCGACGGCTCTCTCTTGCCGACGCTCTCTTTCTTGTTGTCTCTCTCTCTAGCTCACAGATCCACAAGATGGAGAGGGAGGTTCTGGATCTGAGAATCAAGAGGTGTTTGGATGCGGTGAAGATCTCGACCTTCACTTTCATCAAAGAAGATCTCGCTCTCAGGCACTCAACTTGCTCATCAAACTCAGCGACTCGATCCAGAAAGACTTATGGAAATCGGTCTTTATATATATATATATATATATATGTTTGTTCATGTATTGTGCTAATTTCGTGGGATTTAAGTGAGTTTCTCATTTGGGTTTTTTAATAAATATGCACAGCCGTGCCACAAGGCCTTCGTAATCAAGAAGAAGCTGACGAAGAAGATGAGGCAAAACAGACCCATCCCTCACTAGATCCGTTTGAGGATCGACAACATCATCAGGTCCAAAATACTTTTTGTTTTTGTTGTTTGCTTTAATTATTTTGGAATTTCATTGTTAATTTCTGAATCTCTGATTTTTCGTTTGTTAATTTTTAAGCTTAAAATGGTTGTGGCTATGGCTTCTTGCAGTCTTGGGGTTAACTTGAATAGTAACTGTAGTTTTGAAAAAACCCCTTGCAATTCCATTACAAACTGGGGCTATAGTAGAAGGGTCCTTGGGTTTGGTTCTAAAAGCTTCTGCATTGTTCAGAAGAAGGGAAGGTATGTTTTATATGCTCACTATTTTATGGGAATTTATTGATTTGTTATTTTCTTTAGTGGGCATGTCTTACTTCTTATCAAGTTTTCAGAATTTGTATGTTTTTCATAGAAAATGATGAAATGCTTTAAGATTTTAACATTATGGGTCCACTGCATTTCCTATTCTGGTTATAGAATTCTATGGTTTTTGTTTCTTGGTTTGTTTTTGTTTGTATTTATCTCATTTGAAGTCTCTAGTACTCTGAAGTCTGAATGATATTTGCTCAATAATGCTCTTAATATGGGTTACTTGCTTATTTTATTGTGACTGATCATTTCACTTAACTTGACAGAGCTCCTCTGGTAAGAAATCTTGGATCTCTGGCTGTTTGGTTTTCATCTTCATGCTGCCTTTTTCTTTAGTCTTATTGGTGAGCTTATGCTCTCTGACTTTTTTATTCTTGCACTGATTATTGCAATTTTTTATCTACTGCTTTGTGTGGTATTTGTAGCCATATTTTGTTTGTTTAATATATTAAGCCATTTTGACAGGACCCGCCCCGAATTTCCCGGAACCCGAGACGAACCTTGAGGAGACCCCGGCATCACACCCATGCCGGGTTCACTCCTTAAAACTATGTCCTCTTTTACCAGAGAGGATTTAGGGCACGAGACTTTCTGCCGAAATTTCGGCAGAATCTTCCCTGTAAATTGAACATTCCCCAAAATTTCCACCTGCATAAAACACATTTTATAACCCAACCAGCAGCACGCACAATATAATCTCATGCAATTTACATAAATTGCCTCCGGCCTTCAAATGATTCTAACAGAACTGCCCACACTGTTTTTAAAATAACTTCATGCATCAAACATGCATATAACAATTTAAAATTTATTTGTGCGCACCTTCGCTCACACAGTCCACAGGACAAGCCTCACTTCAACCAAGTTTCGGGACCAACCACGAGGTCCGCATCATACTCGATAAAACCACCTAAGTGGTGTCTAGGCCGTGGCTGCACCTAGGCGCTATCCCAGGCTGCCTACGTACCCTACTAAGGGATCAAGCCACACGTAGCTCTTTCCTATCAATCCTGGCTCCTAATATCAAATTAACCATTACATCCATATAAATTCATACATTCTAGGGTTTATCCATCACAACACACCAAACACAATCACATAGCTCCCCTCATACGACGGGACGCACCCGGCCACGTATGGGGTCTGTCAACACGCCGGCTAATCCAAAGACGCGTGCGACCTCAACCCTGGGCCTGGCTACATTCTCACCAGCCCTCACACAATCATATCTCCCCTCATACGTCGGGACGCACCCGGCCACGTATGGGGTCTGTCAACACGCCGGCTAATCCAAAGACGCGTGCGACCTCACATTGGGCCTGGCTACATTCTCACCAGCCCTCACACAATCATATCTCCCCTCATACGTCGGGACGCACCGGCCACGTACGGGGTCTGTCAACACGCCGGCTAATCCAAAGACGCGTGCGACCTCACACTGGGCATGGCTACATTCTCACCAGCCATCACATTGTCACTTGGGCCTGGCTACATTCTCACCGGCCATCATACTGTTCACTTTGGCCTGGCTACATTCTCACTAGCCATCACGGGTTTAAAGGTCTCAACATAATCACAATATGGGGGGTACGTGGGGTAGTGCGTATAGCACTGTAAACTAACATTCAATCTCTTTATATATCATTATACATCCACACAATTAAATATATACTATATAATTTCTAATCCTACAATAACATCAACCAATAAAACATTCCATAAACTCCCCCATTTAAATTCACCAATTTATATCCTAAACCCACAATATCCATTTTACTCAACAACGCTCAAGACCTGTCACTAAGGTCATTCTAACCCTCAAATAAAGGTAAGACTATCTCGGAAGTCTCACGGTCAACCTAGGGTCAAACGGGCCTGCGGGGCCCACCACCTCCAAATTCCGATCCGAAAGTTCCTATAGGTTCTACAGGCTCTAGGACACATGTCCTGCAAGTTTGGTCCAGATCGGACGGTCGGATCGCTCACGATCGCAGGATCGGACGGTTACTAAAATCCTAACCCCAGGGTTGGCATTTCTGGAGTATCCGGGACTCCGTTTTACAATCCGTCGAATCCTATACAATCCTGGTAATACCTAGATCAACATATTATAATCTCAGGACCATCCAACGGTCCAAACCTAGCGAACCCGGAAAATACGCGATATGCGATATCCGTTCGGGACTCTAACGATATCCAAATTGAGATCCGAGCACACCTACACGCTCATGACAACCTGAGGATCCCATTGGGGCAAAAATGCCCTTCGACTACAGTGCCCACGCGCCGCCACACGCGCCGGCAGCGCGTGGTTGTCCAAAGCGATAATCCATCGCCGGAAAAACTCCGAATCACGGCTCAAGACTCCTACCCTAGGTATAACACCCTAATTTGGAGTCACTTTTGTTCTTGGACGTACCCCAAAATCTGACCGGAAGTGGCCGGAATCTCCTTTCGAAATTCGGCCGAAACCCAATTCGTAAATCGAGTTGCCTACGCTACAAATTGATCCATTCCTACCCAACAGGCAGCTAGAGCTCGGAAAATAGGTGAGAAACCATACATCACTTGTCGGAATCGGTGGCCGGACGACGGAGAACGAAGCCGGCGAAGTTTCGGGCGAAATCGAGCTTTTCTCTTCGATTTTTCGGCAAAATCTCTACGGCTGGCGGTGGGACCTGGCTGGGGTAGGAAGAGGACGGCGGCCCGGTCATTTTGGTACCGGCCCCGTCGACTTTGGTGGCCGGATGAGCGAACGGCCGGCCAAAACGTGGCCGGCTGTCTCAGCCGTCGCGAACCAGAGGAGAGAGAGAGGGACGCGCGGGAGAGAGAGAGTGAGAGAGACGGGGGCAGTTCCGTCTTTTAACCAAAAACCTATTTCAAAATATTTACGATTTTGCCACTGGTGATGTTTTGCCCGTAACTCTCTTCGTTACAGCTCCAATTCGAGCCCACTACGTGTTTACGAACTCATCTCGCCGTGCTCTACGCAACGGTACAACTGGAATTCCCAAATCCCTTCCGGGTAAGAAAATGACTAAAATACCCCTATCCCACGGGTAAATTCTTAATTTCACTCAAATTAATTAAAACAGGGGATAAATTTGGAGTCGGGGTGTTACACATTTAATTCGCATGCCTATATTTATCCCTTTACTATTTTGAGTCAAATTCCAAAGTGGAATTGAAAGGGTAAAAATTTATTGAAGCTGGACTTTTATATTTGATGTATTTTCATCTAGCAGTGGACTTGTGATAATTTAGCTGCAGGTGACTTATTATTTTTATTATATTTTTCCTGTCAGCTTGGTGAAATCATTTAAACGTACATATAGATTACTAGCCAATCGATATCTTTGTCAATCTCTATTTATCCTCATGTAAGTAAATTATTAATCCTATATACAAAAGTAGAGTAAAAAAAAAAAAAAAAAAAACAAAAATTGTGCTCTTGTACCGTTTTCTCATAAACTTTCATATGACTTCTCTTGTTATAGGAGACTTGTATTTCATTTTTGGTTATTAATTTAAGATTGCTGACTTTGTACATTGTTGTTTAGTGGTAACAACATTGGTTTCTCTACTCATGGCCTGACTAAACTTAAAATCTTGTCTTATATTCATTTGAAGCAGTGATGAGTATTAATTTAAAGGATCTACCAGTGGAGAATACTTAAAGGATCGGGATACTAAGATAAATTTGACTCTTCTTGCTAGTTTGGCTCAGAAGAAGGGAAGGTATGCTTTTGAAGGTTCCACCAGAAGAGCAGAAGCTTGCAGTCATTCAACTGTGGTGAATCTCATTTTTATGTTTTTGGATCAATTGACATATCTAGACTGGGTTGTAGAGTCATCTAGGTTTGTTTTTTAGAGAGATGTATGTCTAGACTTGGATTTGAATTTGTTCAAATTTGGATAGCTTGTGAATTTGGTGGAAGAATGTTGATATTTTTTTAATGCAATGAATTATTTTATTGTGACTGATATTTTTAATGTTGAGCTCCGTTATTTCCAATTATAGGTAGGAAGTATGTATGTAATAGAATAAAGATTGGTTGACTATGTGATAACTATTGACTCTTCAAAAAACTAAAATGTAACAACTTGTGAACTTATTAGACGACATATTTGAAGATAATAAAACGATGGTTTTATTGGAAAAATAGTCATCTGTATATATTATCAATGACCTATTTTTACACCATAATGTCTTTTTTATATACAATCAACGACGCTTTTTAACAAATACCGACGTCTTTGGATATAATAAAACATAGTTCTTTAAAAAGAACCGTCGCCTTTACATCAAATAGACGACGGTTTTGAGTAAATGCGTCGTCTATTTACATATAATAGACGACAGTTTTTAGTAAAAGCATCGTCTTTACAAATAATAGATGACGGGGATTTACCGTCGTGGTTTTATGCATCAAAAGATGTCGGTCGATTTCATGACGGTTGAAAAACCAAATACACGCACCGTCGTCTATTTCAATTTTTGTAGTAGTACTTGTCATTTTATTGAGAAAATGTTAATTATGCACTCGCCCTAAATCTTAATTTCAATCACGCTGAGATCAACTAGTTTCTTAGTACTTAAATACGTTTCCTTAGGAGTTTAATTTGCTATCCAGTTTGTGATCTAACCACTCCAATTGGTGCATATCACTCTAAAGTATCTCGAAAATTTATCATAAATTCGCATCAAGTCTGCAGATTAACATGAATGGATACCTAACCAAATTGGGATAATTATATATATCAGCTATATAGGCCTCCCGCTTCAGAAAAATTATGCTTATATGCTGACATGAGCAAAAAGTGACACTATGAAGTTGTCCTGTGATAAAATCAATATTTTAAAAGGCGAGGTGTAGAGATGATGCGTTTTTAGTCCGCTATGCTAGGCATAAGTCTTGAAGCAGTGAGGTGTAAGCCTTTTGAACATTAATTTAATTTAATAAAAAAATTATAAATAATACAATATAACTAAATTGTACTACTAATTCTTATTTAGCCAAAATATTCTATCAAATATAAGTACTAATTATCAATTAAGCATAATAATAAATCCTAAAACATAAAATATTTATTCAAGATCAAAAGAAAAACTCAATTCATGCATCCCACTCCTCATCATGAAACATCAAATGATATTTGGCATTTATGTGTGGACTTCAGTGTTATTTTTAGTGGGTTTTACGGATATATATACATATATATATATATATGAATCTAGTACAAAGAGAATTGCATACCGAAGATGAGAGAGGCTTCAACTTATGGAGAGAATTAAAATTGATGCAGTTTATCGCATTAGGGATATACATATAGGTCCATTAATGTATTTATTTAGAAGAAAAAAAAGGGCAGTATCGTTTGTTTCAGTGGGGGTTAAAAGGTATGATGTTTGCTTTTATAAAATAAAAAAACAAAAACCCAAAACGTGCGTTTAAAGCACCTCAGTTTTTATTATATAAAGAAACCAATTAAGTAACTAAATGAAACGACGTCGTATTAAAACAAACTCTAACAAAAAAAAATAAAGCGAGGTCGTCTTCTTCCTCGCTCTTTGGCTTGCAGACAGTGGCGCTTCTTCACGCCTCGCCACGCACGCCTCTGCACGCCTCGCTACGCTAAGTGTGCAACAAGCTAAACATTCGTACGCCTAAGGCGATTTCCCTTCGCCTCGCTCCGATGTGCTCTCTGACGCGCACTTAGGCATGCTTTTGAAAACACTGGATAAAATAAAATGGTAGAAAAGATTACATTTCTTTTCTGGGTAAACGTAGGTGTGGCTGGGATCATTGAGTTTCAATATCTTTACTTTGATTTTTTAGCAACGAGTTATCATCCTACGGCATAGCAATCCCACGGATTAGGATCAGGTGAAAATCAAAGAGAAACCTTTTCCATATAATGTGATTGACAAGGTTTAAGTCTTCACACCAATGTCTTGAAAAAGGTTTTCTCATTTGTGGGTCTGGGTTGAATCTTCTTCATGGGTTTGTTTGTGGTTACCCACTCCCTTTAAATTCTGGCTCACAAGGAACCAATTCAGTCTATACCAAATTGACAACCGGCTTAATTAGGTAGTGGTCACATCACTGTCCTGTATTGATGACTGGAGTTATGGATATATCTTTCTTTTTTTTTCTTTCTGGTCATCTTCGTCTCTACGTACAAGATAGTATGTAAAATGAAATACGTACAATTTGTGGAACATTCTTAATAATGACGGCCACCATTGCGACGGCGACATGAGGTGGTGGCAGGAAGGAAATGGGGTCAGCTCAGCTCAGCTGGTTATATGAATCAATCAATGTGTGAGTTTATAACAATGACTCTTGCCATATTCTCGGTCAGTTGTATAAAACCATACTCTTCTATTATATCAAGATGTAAAATATTGGAAAATTATTGAGGAAAAAGAAAAGGCAAGAACACAGTTGGGCTGAAAATTCTACCCCTTTCGTCTCCAATTCATCAATGACTTTTCAATAACTCTACTTTCCACATGATTCAACATCACACGGGCTTATTGATTTGACTTCAAGCTTAACACTCCTGTCAATTTATGAGTACATCACAATCCTGACCAGAGCAAACACGCCAAACTCGGCCTAAAGGCATATTAGCTCACCTAAACCCGTCTTATTTACACATTGTAGAAGGAGGTGATCGTGATCATCAGGAAGAGCTTATTGATTTGATTATCAAAATGCCTTCCTTCAATCTCAATGTGTTGATGACCCTTGTGCTTGGCTTGCTTAGCCTTAGCAGTTTGAGTGAAGCTAAATACCTCTGCCACATCTGTTCTAACACAACAAGTTTCACTCCCAACAGCACCTACGAATTCAATCTTAAACTCCTCCTCTCTTCTCTCACCTCCAACGCCACCCGTGAACTCGGTTTCTACAACACCACTGCCGGCTCCCAAGATCCCAACGCTGCAGTTTACGGTTCCTTTCTATGCCGTGCTGATCTCACATCCGATGCATGCCAAGATTGTGTAGCCACCGCAGCCAGAGAAACGGTCAAAGAGTACTGCCCCTTAAGAAAAGTCACTATAATTTGGTACGATGATTGCATGTTACGCTACTCAAACGTGTCTTTTTTCGGCAATATGGATGAAGCCCCAAGCTTTTATTTGCGGAACGAGGGAAATATTACTCATCCAAACCGGTTTTTTGACGTACTGATGGAAACAATGGCTGGCTTGAAGCCTAAGGCAGCAAATGAGGCCTCCGGAGCTAAAAAGTTTGCGGCAAAAGAAGCAAACTTTACAGCGTTTCAGAAGTTGTACAGCCTTGTGCAATGCACGCCGGACCTGTCAAGCCCCGACTGTGATCTGTGTCTTGAAGCAGCTATTGTAATTCTTCCGCATTGTTGTTACGAGAAGCAAGGAGGAACAGTTTTGTATTCTAGTTGTAATATTAGATATGAAATTTATCCATTTTATACATTTGTTACTGCCCCTCCTCCGCCACTGCTTCTTCCTCCTCCTCCTCCACCTCCAGCTTCAGTTACAAGGTCTCAAGGTAATTACAAGCTCATGTATTTGTTCTAATTGTTTAATGATATATTTAGAAAGCAATGTTTGTCTTTATAGAACTTTTACACAAACATAGGGATAAATCATTAATTTGTGTCTAATACTCCGTGCAGGAAATGATGACCAAATCTCAGCTTTGATCATAGTGGCCATTGTGGTTCCAATTGCCATATTGCTCTTCTTGGTAGGCTGCTGTTTCTTAAGAAGAAGAGCAAGGAAAAAGTACAACGTTATACAACAACAAAAAGGTAAACAAACATTGAAACATTTTATAATTTCCTTTCCGGACACAACTTATGTATTTTCCTCTCTTGAACAATTTGATTCCTAATCGTGTTCAGTAGTATTAATTAAGTCCATAATTAATTAATACTTCCTACTTCTTGATTGTGTAGTGGGGAGCGAAATTAATAGCGTGGAGTCATTGCAGTTTGATTTGCGTACAATTGAAGCAGCCACAGACAATTTCTCTGATCAGAACAGATTAGGGGAAGGTGGCTTTGGTAAGGTTTATAAGGTTGGGATTTTGGCTTACCAAATCTGGTGAAGTTTAGTCATGCCAGAGTTCATGAAAAGGTGTTAAACTTATGAAAGTTATACTTAGATGTTTGTCAAGATTATTGGTTGCAATATTTTCAGGGTACACTTCCTGATGGGCAACAAATAGCTGTGAAGAGGTTATCTAGAGGCTCCGGGCAAGGTGCCCAAGAGTTTAAAAATGAGGTGGTTTTGGTAGCTAAGCTTCAGCACAGAAATTTAGTAAGGCTATTGGGATTTTGCGCTGAAGGAGAAGAAAAGATACTTGTTTACGAACTTTTGGAGAACAAAAGCCTTGACCACTTTCTATTCGGTTTGTGCCCTTCTAACATCATGTGTGATACCATATGCTATTTGATTAGTTGATGATAAAATTACACTTCATCTTCTTATTCACAAACCAAGCGCAACATTCCCAAGAGGCAAAGCCACTGAGGAAAAGAATATATATTTCAGAATTATGTTTGTATGTCTATTAATTTGTCTTAATTTTAGTGAAATGAAATGAATTCCTCCGTAATTATTTTACTTATTCTAACATGTATATTTTATTGGACAAATGTGTGCATAGGGTCTGAGAACCAAGTAAAATTGTATTGGTCAAGCAGATACAAGATTATTGGAGGGATTGCTCGAGGGCTTCTCTATCTCCATCACGATTCTCAGCTTAAAATCATACATCGCGATCTTAAAGCAAGCAACATATTGTTAGATGGGGAGATGAACCCAAAAATTGCAGATTTTGGCATGGCAAGAATAGTTGGAGTTGACCAAACTCAAGGGAGCACAAGAAGGATTGTGGGGACATAGTAAGTAATAACAGAACTTTGTTTATGTTCACAAAATCTGCATAAACGAGTTGATTGATTTTCAAGTAGTGCCATTATAAAGCCCAACAAAAAAGGCCCTTAATAATAAGGGTATCCGTTATTAATGTCCACTTAATAACATATTTAAGACTTCTTCTTTTTCCAAAATAATACTGATTCATATATTAAATAAATTTTTACAGTAATTAATATTGGGCTCAAGTAATCTGTATTTTTATATTCACTCTTATAAAATAATATATACTCGAAAAGCTTACGCTTCAATGCCTCAAGGCTTACGCATCGCCTTGTGGGACAGAAAGAGCCTTGCCTCTACGCCTCACCTTTCAAAACATTGGTTCACACTGCATTTGAACTAATATTAGAACTTTATTGATGCTGCTGGTTTGTAGTGGTTACATGTCTCCAGAATATGCAATGCACGGACAGTTCTCTATGAAGTCCGACGTGTACAGTCTCGGTGTCCTGATCTTAGAGATTGTTATTGGCAAGAAGAACACTAGTTTCTATAACTCAGACCGTGGCGAAGACCTCTTGAGCTATGTGAGTATGAGTTGAATATTGTAATTTGCATATCATGGTTAACCTTTTTAGAATGAGTCTCTTACTATAAATAAATAAAAAATTTGCAGGCTTGGAGACTCTGGAGGAACGGGACATCCTTAGAATTATTGGATCCAAATCTAAGACATTCTTATGCAAAAGCTGAAGCAACTAGATGTGTCCATATCGGGTTACTCTGTGTTCAGGAAAATCCAAAGAAGAGACCCACAATGCAATCCATAGTTCTCATGCTAAGCAGTTACTCTGTTACTATGGCATTACCTCAAAAGCCAGCATTTTTCGTGCATAGTAGAACAGAGCTGAACATGCCATCATTAACCACTGAATCATCTGATCCAACTACTAGCAACTCGTTGCCATTTTCTGTTAACGAAGCATCAATTACTAAATTATACCCGCGTTAGTGTATATCGAAAAAAGCGTAGTCAATCTTGCAGGTCTGTACTTTGGAAGTTCTTTGATTTTGTTTCATTTCTCTATGTTTTTCATGGTTGATCTAGCTATTCTGTTTCTTGTTAGTTTAGTTAGTCTCTGCACCATAGGCATAGGGGCCTCTGTATTGGTTTGGGTGCCTTTGTAGCATTGTAAGGCCTTTGGGCTAGTGCACCTATTTTTATATAGAGAAAATTAGTTAAATATCCATTTCTAGACATAAAACTATAAAAATACCCTATACTATTTAATGTATATAAACACACTGTTTGTGCCTAATAAATCACGGTCATAAACTGACTGAAGGGACTTCCTCTCGGCCCTAGCACCTACTCGTGAACTGAAACGGCCACGTTTCGTTAGACATTTTGCCTTTCTGAAAACAAAAGAAAAGCTGCAAAGGCAGAATCCTCTCGGCCTCGCGACCGCGGTATTATAGGCCGAAGCCGAAGGCCGTAAAAGACACGGCCGAAGATGCTGTGGTTAAATCGCCACGTGGCCTCAGGGTCCCACGCCCCATTTAATGAAGTATGGAAATCAGAGTGGTTAGACGCAAACATTCTCACAAGTATTCTTACAACTTGAGGTCAGATCACCAACCACCATACCAGGACATTAAATGCGTTCCCACGGCCAAGGGGGCAGAACCCACGATTAGGGCGGTGGCCGAGATTTACCAGGATTTATGGGGGTCACACCACCATGCTTCACGATCCCAAATGCCAATTTAACTACCCACTTGCCCCGATCAGGCTCCACCACGCAGATCTTTTCAGCCTCGATTGTCCCTCCAGAACTCCCCCTATAAATACTAAGCTCAAGACTATATTCAAATGGTTCAAACACCAAACCAAAAGCCTCCCACGGAGCAAATTATATTTTCCTGCAATGCACTTTCAATACATTTATTTGTTTTCCTAGGAGTAGTGGTAGATTGTAAGGAAAATCCATTCATCAATATATCATACGACCCTTGATTTTCAAGGCGCCGGAGCACCATCTCTGTTATCATCTCATTCACCCCATATATCATACGACCGTCGCTCTCTGAGCAACGCGCCGGAGCACCGCCTAAAACCCGCCACCAACACCACCACTAAACGGCCTTGTAGCTCAGGCCGTGAACCTGACGGCCGAGATCAGTTCCTCTCTCGGCCACAATCGTTTGATTAGGAGTCGAATTCAAAACAGGCGGATCATTTAACCATCTTCTACCCAAACCTCATCACCATCTCGACGCACGGTAGACCGTGCTGGCACGCCCGCGCACAACCGCACCGCATCCAAAAGAATGACGTCACGTGTTAACGCACATCCCCTCGGCCCGGAGCACCAGGCTGTGAGATTTGCGTAGCCAACACACACCCAAAATAAACCCAAAAATCAACAGCTGTATATTTTTTAATTTAATTATTAAGTCGAAATACATTTATTACCCTTTTAACATAAAATTGGAATTCCTAATAAACACCATATCAAAACTCATGACCTCCAGTCTCTCATCTTCATCTTCAACCCCAATTTTCAGTTTTTGTTCTTCACCTCAGTTTTGACGATGAAATCCTAAGCTTTAACTCTCTCTCTCTCTCTCTCTCTCTCTCTCTCTCTCTCTCTCTCTCTCTCTCTCTCTCTCTCTCTAAAAGAATAAGAATGATGAAGTCATAGGATTCTGATTGTGTAAGGTTACTATTTCTTCTAATTCTAATTAATTCGTCTTTTGGATATAGGAAAACTAGGAGACCCCTTTCCAAGCCCGTGGATCAAAACTTTGCAGCCATCTCAATTCAGGGAACATCAAGCTGTAATGCTTTGGAAGATGGAGTTGACGAAGGCTCTGCCTTCAAGCATGTTAGTCCAAATGGCAAGACAGAAGCTGAAGTCAGAGACACTGGCACTGGCAATCCATTAGATGATGGATCTGTGAAAAAATTGGAAGATATGCAACATGAGCAAATGGACAATGACTTGGCGGATTCAGGGGATGAAATGGCTCATGGGGCATTGGTGACTTGGCTCAGTATAAATCCTATTCGATCTGCGATCTTCGATTTTGAGGTATTTGACTTTTTTTAATTTGAATTCATATTCGATTTTATTGTAGTCTGATTTGGGTGATCTCATGTTCGATTAATTAAGTTGTTGGTTAAGTTTTCATAATTTATGCAATTTGGGAGTTTAAATTTGAAATGTAGATCCAATTCTTCTTGATTTTATATGTTTATTTTGTTATTGTTGATTTGGAGATAAGCTATTGGATTTTCTGATTTCGTTCTAATTTGTATTGAGATATTCGTTTGAGTTTTAAATTGTGATTTTAATTTCTTTTTGTTTATAATTTGGATTAATTTCATATTCGGTTTGGTTGTGGATTTGCTTTTGTGTTTTCGTTTGAGCTATGGTTACAAATTTGTGATATTTGATTCGGTTATCATATTAATTGAGGTATGTTTTTTCAATTGAATCTGAGTATATTAGTGTTTTTTCTGTTTATTAGTTTTGAGTTGACTATAATTTGCTGTTAAGTAGCAGTGTTATTACCTTATATTGGAACTTTACAGACATGCATTAAAAATAGGATTTCATAGGAAATAAGCAGTGTTATTGCCTTATACTGGAACTTTACAGTGATAGACATGCATTAGAAATAGGATTTTATATGAAACTAGCAGTGTTATTACCATATACTGGAACTTTACGAGAGGTAAACATTCATTAGAAATAGGATTTTAGAGGAATCTAGTAGTGTTATTACCCTATACTGAAACTTTACAATTGGTAGACATGCATTAGAAATAGGATTTCAGAGGAATCTAACAGTGTTATTACCTTATATTGGAACTTTACAAAGGTTAGACATGCATTAGAAATAGAATTTCAGAGGAATCTAGCAGTGTTATTACCCTATACTGGAACTTGTTTCAACATGCTCTACCCTATGGTATGATCCGAATTCCCAAATTCCTTCCCAAACTTAAAATGACCTTTTTGCCCCCTATAATATTAAATAATATTTTAATTTCTCAAAAACCTTAATTATTTCAAATCATTTTATTTTAATGTTGATTTCAATTTATTTCCTCATTTAAATTTATTCACTCTTACTTTAATTATTTAAACACTTTTTTGGTATGAGGTGTAACAATTTCACCAAAGTCTCCCCGGTCAACAAGTCAATATGTAAACCTATTAAAATATTCCGGGGTAACATTGTCTTTTTCTTTAATAATTTAGTATTTAATTATTAGTTTAGGACCGGGTCGTTACAAACAATGCACGACCAGTCGCATGAACAGTGACGACCGATCATTTTGAAGTAGATTGTGACTTGAAAAACAAAATGGAAGGAGACCGGTCGCTTGAACAATCAATAGACAATTGAATCTAAGAATCATGCAAGTGGATCGGACGAATCCACACAATTAAGTGCCCATTTGGCATTGCTTATTCAGAGTGATAAGTGATTTTTTAAAAATTTTGGGAAGCCTAGCCCGTTTTGTAAAATATGATAAAATCATTATTGTTAAAAATTGTTGTGAGATAAAGCTATAAGGAAAATAAGCTAATTGGGTGCTTTCATTTTCTGATTATGCGGGAAGCAGTTTTGAAGAGGCACAACACTTTTAACAAAAAGTTTGCCAAATGCTAAACTAGCCCTAAGTCAAATACTTTAGTTTGGTTTTAGTTTAGAAATAGAGTAGCTTTCTTATTTATATTAATAAATATCGTAAATTATACAAAATGGATGTGTTGAATTGAATGAACCAGTTATTCTTTCTTCTTCTTATCTTTTTTTTCTCAAATTTGCAGCACCAAGTAATTACTGATGTAATTGTTTGATTACTTGATTGGTAAGTACTAATTAACTGGTTAAAACAAATTAACAATTGTTCTTGAATCTTGGTCATGTCCACATGTTTAAAGGGACAACCCGATAATAGTGAGTGTCCAGACACCGTAGGCCTACACAAAAAGACTCTTAAGTCCACATGCCAGGTCTTCTCTTTGAAATATCTAAGGAGAAACAAAGAATAAGGGTACTGATTTTCCCACTCCCTTTTTATCCACTTACACTCTATTTTTTAAAATTGTATGTTGTCATTCCTCTTTTATTCACTTACACTCCCTTTTATCTTATAGTAAAAAATATTAAAAAATAAAAAAGAATATAGGTGGATAAAAAGGGAGTGGAAAAATCACCACCCAAGAATAAAACCAAAAGCAAACGTACGCAGAACGCTTTCTTGTCTTTTGGTACTCCTCTCTTGTCTATTGCCTTTACTTCCCTGCTATATCCATCCACAAACAAGACCAATAACAAAGTTGTCAAGCAACCATCTAGACCGGTGCCACAAGTAAGGTCAGGGTCTTCTCCTATCCTATACGTCTAATTTGAGCAGCCCTGTTAGACCGAGAAGGAGGAATATAACACAAAACCGACTTACTTGTGGTTCTAGACTAGTTGACAACAACCATCATTGATGTATCAATGTGAAGTATACCACATAAATGAATTAATAATGTTGAAGCATAGAAGCAATAAGTAAATACAATTCTCTATTAATTAAGGTGCAAAATAATCAGCAAACTTAGATTAGGCTAGTTGGTCATAGTTGTGGGTCCGCCCCCAAGTTCAAGTCTCCCTCATATATATTAAATTTATTTAAAGTAATTTACACTATTACTTGGAAAAAAAATCTACGAAAGGATCAATAATATTCAAATGTAGTTTTTCCTATAAAAAGCCAAAATTTAAACTTCATTCATACTCTCTAGTTAAATGCTATAACTATCTTTTAATTGGTCCATTTCTATTAAAAATAATATAAAAAATATTTAGTATTAATGGAAGGTTTAAAACACTCGTAAAATAAAGCGGCATAAATTATAAGGAATCACTATGAACGCTTTCTATCTCCTCAGATTTCGGAGCTCCTAGAGTTCTCTATATTTAGGAGGTGGATAGGGAAATGGCTAGAGTTGTAATTTTTCAATTCCTCCATGAATTTTACCTAAGGAGGTGGTTTATGAAGCTCATTATAGATACTCTTAGCAAGATTTTGGTTGAAGGAGATTCTTAGCTCCTAATTGATTGCGTAAACAAAGTTTGTGGTCCCCTGGCGCCTCTACACCTTGGTTCAGAATATTCATTTCTTGGCTGTTTTGAGGAAATCTCCTTTCAGCGTGTCCCACGTAAGGCAAATTTTTCTGCAGACGCTTTGGCTTCGGCTGATCATTTGTACATGCCCCCCCATGTTTGGATTCACTCTCTCCCTCCTGCAATTATATTAATTTATAATAATTTAAAATATCTCGTGCATAAACTAAGATAAAATAAATGATTAATGGCCTAAACGATCCCCCAACTGTCGCTCAATTATTATTTTGATCCACAACTAAAATTTTCAATTCAAACGTCCTTAAACTTTTTATATTGTACCAAAATCGTCATTCCGTGACAGATTCCATCACTTTCGATCACGCGATAGCCACGTGACTGAGTTTTGAAGGGTATATGCGACTTTTTGGAGCTGCTTCTTCACCCATTTCACTATGTCTTCGTCTTGGGTAAACATCACCGGCCTCTTCCCTGTCAAGAGCTCAAGCAAAACGATCCCATAGCTGTTCAAAATTTTAGGGTTTAATTGGGTAGAGACTGATGATGGGGGTTTAAGTCTCTCCTCTCTTTGCTTCAGTAATTACATACATTTCCTCTTCAGAAAATTGGGAGAGAGAGAGACAATGCATCATCAACATTCACAAGCTTCGCTTTGCAAATTGCTTTTCAGACGCTCTTTCAATGGTTCTCCAAAGCTCTTTTCCCTCAACTCGCTCATAACGAGTCAGTCTCAGTGCGTTTCAGACTCAGCTCCATTGCCGAAACCCAAGACTCCTGAGCTTCTTCTTCACAAACCCACCATAAATTCCCCCCATTTTCTTCACCCAACATTCTCAAACTCACCGACCCAGTTCATAAATCGTCATAATCTGAGAGAATCAGTGGTGGGGGCGGATGGGTTTGATCAGAACAAAGAGGTGGACATGATCAACCTCAAGTTTGCAGAGGCAAGAGAGGAGATAGAGATGGCCATGGAGTCCAAAGAGACTGTTTATCTAGCCCAAAATCGGACAGATGGGCTTCGAAATCGGTGTCGAAGAGCACGCTTTGGGGCTTCACATCGCCGTGCACCATTGCAGAACTGTGTAAGAAGGCCAAGCCACGAGCAATTCCAAGTGCAATGAGGTGGCGCATTGGCCAATTGAGGACATGGCCATCTTGGTGTGATGCTTCTTGCAAAGGGTAGCGAGATTTCCGTTGGGTATGTAGTCATAGACAAGAAGCCTCATGTTTGGTGGCCCGGCGTAGTAGCCTCGAAGAACTGTTAAGTTCCGGTGCTTCACTCTGCCCAGTGCTTCAGCTTCTTTTCTGAACAAGTTTTCATTGAGTGCTCCATCTGGGAAGCGGCGGACCGATAACACCATACCATCAGCATAACAAGCCTTGAAGACCAACCCATATCTTGTTCTGCTGAGCACATTTTCTTCGTCGAATTGTCTGGTAGCTTCAATTGTCTCTGCCAGTGTGATTTTGTTGTTGAACATAACAAGCTTTGGCCCTCCACTATCAGAGCTTCCACGGCCCCCACTAGCCCCTGAGCTTGCCCTTGCTGGACTCCGTTCTTCTCTCCAGATGCCTTTGTTTGAGCTTTTTGCGCCACCTGAAGAGGCTGAAGATGTAGAAGCAGCAACACACAGAGCAAACCCTCTCTCCAACTAGTGGTCAAGTCGTTTTAGAATAGGATACTCACCTAAAAATACAGTTTTGTCCCTCGATTTAACGGAATAATACACAGACTTTGACGGAATGACGATTTGGTACAATATAAAAAGTTTAAGGACGTTTGAATTGAAAATTTTAGTTGGTGGACCAAAATGATAATTGAGCAATAGTTGAGGGACCATTTAAGTCATTAACCCTAAAATAAAAGAGGGTGCATTGGCACCACGCAAGTGGCATGAGGTGTCCAGGTCCTTGACTGCTTTTGTATTTATGTTTGCTTGAAATTGAAAACCATGTTTTAGTTTTGCAGGCAATTACGAACTGAACCAATCAAGACCATTCTATATGTTGGTGGGGCGGTGCAATACGCATGGAGATGGCCCACAACCACCCATGGAAACCCACAATCAACCCTTCTCCGTCCCTCTTGTGTGCTCTCTGTTTCTTTTAATAAATAATTTTGGCTACTTTTTGAATTTGCATTTTGGGATTTGTTAGAGCACAAATTTCAAGTCTTCCAACAAATAATTTGATTTATATGTTGAGAAGTCGGATACTATTCTGATTGCCATCAGTGAAGGAGGGGGTACCTGCAAAAAAACACTCCGACACTTAAAAAGCAACACCGATGTTGCTTTTAAAAGCTGCTGTCAAAAGACCATTGCTTTTAAAATAAGCATGATATTTTATTTTTACCAAACACCTTAAACTGCTTAACTTTAAAGTTAAGCAAATTTTGGCCAAAAAAAGCAATCCCAAAAGAGGCCTTAGGTCAATAAAAGTGTAATTGAAGGAGAGTTTAGGAATATATTAAACTTGATTTTCTCCTTTTGGGATGTATTATTGGCATTTTATAGGCTGTGGAGTTTTGGTTCCTAAGTTTTCTTAATGTTTCAAGATAATGAATGTCATGTTGCTTGAATTTCTATACTCTCCAAGTTTATGATGTGTGGGTAGGGTGTTATTGTCTGTGTAGTATATTTTTGCTCCCCAGGATTAATTCTTATTTGGCTTTTCCTTTTTGCAGTTCCATTTCTTAGTCTGAAAGTGCAGACGTTAATGGACCACTTGTGTGTTCGTCTGAGGTACAGGGAATTAATGAGAAGTGCAAAAATAAAAAATAAAAGAGAGGGATTTGAGTACTTAACTAACGTCGCTAACTAGGAGAAAGCTTACAAACGCTTTTGCAAAGGACTCACTAGTGTAGTGATTGGAGTATTACTTCCTTAGGTAAGGTCCTGGGTTCGAGTCCTAGCATTCGTGTTGTGTGTGTGAGTTTAATATGCTATCGCTCATTTCAATAAGAAAGGTCCTCCAAAAAATAATAATAATAAATAAATAAAAAAAACTAACGTCGCTAACAGGAGCTGACGTTTGTCAATAACAAAAGTTTCTCTCTCCTTTAATACTGCTATGATCGGTGCAATTTATAATTAGTTCGTAGTGTCAATTTATCTCAATGTGGTTGAGTACCAAATACCAATAATTTCAATTCAAAAGAAAATTCAATCAATAACGTGTTTGATTCGTTTGACTTGTCGCCCAACTCAGCCCTGCATCTGTATCGACTTTTTCTTTCATTTATTTCATCACTGGCCTAGCTTTCATAAATTTAATGGCACCTTATTGACGTCTGCTGCAGACTTCCTATATGGAACCTAGCTAAGCTTATGTATATAAATAATTCTGTATAAGTCCAATGTGTATGATAGAATTGCGGGAATCCACATATTTATGTTAGTAATCCAAGTTTTTTTGACTTTTGTACCACATAAGATTAGTTACATTTTTTCAATTTCTGATATTTATATTTCAATTTTTTATTTTTTTTATTTATGTGTGTGTGGTTCCAAATTGCCCTAAGATATAAATGAGGTAAGAAGTTTTTCATGATTTCATTGGCCATTACAAGGCACCCTTTGTGTACTGTTTAGCATGTTTATGTTCTCTTTGTCTGTTTACACATCACACTAATCATAGGTACATTTTTTTTATGGATTATTTTCGCCTGTATGATAGCTAGGTACATTTGGGTTTATACCTGTCGTATATGTAACCAATTGCTTGCCCCCCATAGGTCAATTTACTATAACACATATATAGGTATTTTGTGAAAATGAAACACTTTGTTATCAACTTTATCTTTTAATTCCAGCTGGCATGGTGTCTTTTTTGCCTTTGGGTTAACAAACAAATAAAACAATATGTGGATACCTATTTACCTATAACTGCATAGATCTATATACCTATATCCCAGAAGCCCTGAATTACCAACGAGTTTTTCTACCCGGAGGCTGAATGATGGAAACAGAAAATATAGTTGGGGTCACTCCTAACCATAGGAAAACAGGCCAAATTATACCATCTTCCTCTCCCTAGGCAGTGGCGTGAGGCGGGGTTAGGACCACGCACTAGGCGGGACTAGAGGAGGTAGGAACCCAGAATGTATACAAATTTTGATGTCTGATTCCCCAATCCCCTGACTAAACCGGTCCACAGCCACTGACCCGGTTTGTTCGTGGCTAGCAAACGGAAACTGTTCGTTAGCAATATCATAGGGAATGGTCTCTCCCACCCACCGTCAGCCCCTCCTCCACCGTACGCAAAATCTTCTGCCAGCACATACAGAACCAGACGCAAAAGTGCATGATGTGACTCTTGTCCCCAAAAAAAAAAAAAAAAAAAAAAAAAAAAAAAAAAAAAAAAAAAAAAAAAAAAAAAAAAAAAAAAAAAAAAAAAAAAAAAAAAAAAAAAAAAAAAAAAAAAAAAAAAAAAAAAAAAAAAAAAAAAAAAAAAAAAAAAAAAAAAAAAAAAAAAAAAAAAAAAAAAAAAAAAAAAAAAAAAAAAAAAAAAAAAAAAAAAAAAAAAAAAAAAAAAAAAAAAAAAAAAAAAAAAAAAAAAAAAAAAAAAAAAAAAAAAAAAAAAAAAAAAAAAAAAAAAAAAAAAAAAAAAAAAAAAAAAAAAAAAAAAAAAAAAAAAAAAAAAAAAAAAAAAAAAAAAAAAAAAAAAAAAAAAAAAAAAAAAAAAAAAAAAAAAAAAAAAAAAAAAAAAAAACAGGAACTAGAAGCAAATACTGTGAGGGTTGTTGGGACTCGGTAAGTAAACACTACAATACATACAAGCATTTTTATCACGTGTACTTTTTCCTTTGGGTGCAAACATGCATTTATGTATATAGATGTACTAAAGAAAGTTTTTTTTCTTTCTCATTTTGTAAAGTGGTTATATGCCCCCCCGAGTACATCATGGGAGGAAATTTTTCCACAAAATCTGATGTCTACAGTTATGGAGTGTTAATGCTTGAAATTATAAGTGGGAGGAAAAACAACAGCTTCTACAATGAAGATCGTGTGCTCAACTTAGTAGGACATGTATGTCAAAGAAATCGCTGCAGACTGCAGTAACCATTATGTTTTTCTCTTTTCATGTTTTTTAGGTGCGTGATTCAATAATTTTAATGCTTTCTGCAGGCATGGGAGTTATGGAAAGAAGACAGAGGGGTAGAAATAATGGATCCAACACTAGTTGAAACATGTATTAGTCATCAATTGTTAAGATGCCTCCAAGTCGGTCTACTATGCGTGGAGGAAAATGCAGCCGTTCGCCCTGCCATGTCAGATGTTATATCTATGTTGACAAATGAAAGCATGCAGTTACCTCTACCAACAAAGCCAGCATTTTACACAGAAAGAAATCCAGCCACTACGGGTATAGATAGAAGGGGACCGCCAATTATATCAATAAATGATTTGTCCAATACAGATTTGGAAGGACGTTGAAGGTATAGATGACGTTGGCTGTGCAAAACATTATACTGCAAATAAGCTTATTATGGCAAGCAAAAAAATGTAGTGTTATATGAAATACTTCACTAATACTTGGGAGTAGCTTCTAACTTAATAATGACCAATTTAGTCATATTTTTTCTTTAAATTAAACGTCTTGTGTCAAATATATATATAGCTAGGAGGTCGGATCCACGTCAAATCTATATTTCCATTGCAAGAACGAGATCATCCTCATCATGTTTCCATTTCGCAACGGGATCCTCTTTAGTGGCATGTCTATAAGAGCACCAAAGCTCTGTGACTGGAACTGGTATACGTCCTCAAAGCCCTAAGACGGGTTTAGAGAGTGAATCTTATATAAGGTAGTTGATTTCTGCTGGTAAATAGTGCAAGATACAATTAGAAGACAAATATGAGGCCTTGCACTTGCATTTAGAGGAAAACAAAATTTTGAACCTTGGAGTTATGTACCATTGGGCGGGCCTTGCATCTTTATTACAATTGAGGAGGTCTTGACAAATGCAAATAATCATGTACAATATAGTACAATTGAGGAAACTACTTGATTTCTTCTAGTAATGAGTACAAGACATATAATTCAAAAACAAGTGAGAACTAGCCCTTGCATGCTGCAATTCTGCAATTAGTCTAAGGAAAACAAATTTTGAATTCTTTGAATATTAATAATATTGCTATCATTCCTCCGGCCTTGTGCATCAAGTGGTTGACTATTGGTGTGTGCCTCTTAGCCAGTAAAGAGGAAAAATTAAGGAGAGAGATTATGACTCAAAACGCCTCTTCCATTCCACAGATGGTTAGTGCATATGCAGTATGAGTGAGTCGAAGTCCGCTTCTTGTATACATTGACCTTAAAGAGATTGTGGTTTAATTCTCACGTCTTTTAATACTTTTGCTTCTCTGCTAAGTTTTCCATTCATGGCTATCATAAGAAACTTAACTTTCTTGATCACTTTCGGATGCTTGTGGACTTGTCACTACGCTGCAAGCTTAACTCAGGACACGCTCAAACCAGGGGAGACACTCAACTCCTCAAGGTCCTTGGTTTCAGCCTCGGGGAATTTCACCTTGGCTTTCTTTGTACCTAATGATGGTTCCAAAAACAGTCAACTCGCAATCCTTCGCAGTAAAAAAGGTGTGAATCATGCATGGATTGCAAACCGAAACACACCTATTTTATATCCTTCATCCCCATTTCTTACCTTGGACTCAAACAACACATTGAAAATTACACACCAAAGTGGAGATCCTATTGTCATTTACTCCCCTCCACAAAATAGTACTAGTACTAGTAGTGTTGTTTTGGCTACCCTTTTGGATAACGGAAATTTTGTACTACAAGAAGTGAAATCTGTGGATGGCTGAACGAGAAGGTTTTGTGGCAAAGTTTTGATTATCCAGTGGACACATTTTTACCAGGCATGAAATTAGGTGTGAACCATAGAAAGGCCACATTTGGTCTATTTCATCATGGTCAACTCACTCCAACCCAGCGCCAGGGCTTTTCACCCTTGATTGGGACCCCAATGGACAACAATTGAATATCAAGAAAAGTGGGGTGGTCTATTGGACAAGCGGAATTTTTACAACAATTAAGGGAAGATTTGATTTGATTTTGCCTGACGAACCCAAGGTGAGGTATAATTTCAGCATTGTCTCGAATGAGAATGAAGACTACCTCATTTACACCGCTGCAGATGATCAAATTAAGGACAAAACAGATGCTGATACAAGAACAAATATAAAAGCTTAAATGAATTAGATTTTTCACTTGAGGTGGTGTAATATTTCAATTTATTTTTTTTCTGTTCTTTGATGGGTTGGTTTTGGGTTCCTATGCAACAGGAGGAGGAGGCAAGAGGGCATGATCAAATGTCAAAATCTATAACAGAAATGCAATATCCAAAGAATGAAAGGCAGTCCAACCAAGAAGGAACTAGCAAATATTAGTGAATCAGCAAAACTTATGAATTTAGCAAATAAAGAACCTGAAGCCAGTTTCGAGCGGAAAAAACTTACTTGTGTAATGTGAAGAGCCTGCCCAAGCCGCTGAATTTGAATCCATTGTTCTGTAACAATGTCAGCCATCTGAAAGCAATGAGAAAGAAGCCAATGGCAAAATGAACACCACACTAACAACATCACACACTCATAGCCATAGACCAAAGATGGATTGAGTACATCAGTGCATAACCTTTTGAGACTGAGAGGCAGCCGTTTCGAGTCTATCCCCGGCATCTTGTGCTTTAGACTCTAAAAAATGGGCATAGGCGGGAGGCTAGGCGGCTAGGCGGGCGGCGAGACGGCTGGGCGGGCCTCCTAGGCGGGTTGGGTCTTTTGTCGTTGCCAAACCCAGAGGACGAAGCAGCCGAAACCGAAGAAAACAAATCGAAGCTTGAGTTGATAGAGAAGCGAAACTTCGACTGCAACCTCCGTCTAGGCGGGCGCTAGGCGGCTAGGCGGGGGCGCTAGGCGGCTGGGCTGGCCTCCTAAGTGGGTTGGGTCTTTTTTCGTTGCCTAACCCGGAGGACAAAGCAGCCGAAACCGAAGAAAACAAATCGAAGCTTGAGTTGATAGAGAAGCGAAACTTCGACTGCAACCTCCGTCCTCTGCGAGTGCAAGCTTCGTTTTGAATATATGAAAACCGTATAGCCGCGCGGCTATACTTTTAAAATATTCGAATATATTAACATTTATACTTTTAATATATTCGGAAGTATTTAGAAAGTATAGCCGTCCGGCTATACGTTTAAAATTTTCTAATATATTTGGCGACTATACTCTTGAGATATCAAATTTTGTAAATACATTGCTGCGAGATGATTTGAATTTTATGAAATGTTGCCAATAAGAAAAAAAAAAAAAAAAAAAGAATTTTATTGATTATAAAATCAATTGTCTTTTTTCTCTTGGGTTGAAAGTAAGATCAGTGTTCTTCCAACTGAAGGCATCCCCAAAGCACACGTTACATCCCATGGTCGTTTATGCGAAACTCAATAAATTGTAAACGTGAAATTTACAGCTTAAAGTCTTCACTTGAGGCGATAGGTATACAGCCTCTAGTTATTACACTTTGAATTGATATAGAACTATATATGTATAGGGGGTGGATCCATGACACTACATTTTTGACACGAGTCCTAACTCACGTGGATGGACGACCATGCCCTCTAAGAAACTGAAGACAGAACAAGGGCCATAAGTCAGCTGTATTTTTTTTCGCTGCTCTGTTTTGGTTTATGTCTCCTGCTGTTCTGGTATATTCTTTAAGCTGGTATATTCTTTAAACTTTATGTGTACATGTTAAACATAATTTTCGCATCTTTAACAATCGTGTCAAATTTAAAATCTTAATTGTCTACACGATGAATCTAAACAGGCGATGGCAGGACAAACAGTCCGAACGAATTGCTCAACTTCATGATATATAATAGACCTACTGATGATTTTGATGGGCTTCAAAATGATCATGGAAACATGGGACGTCATGCTTTAAGCATATTTAGCTTTGCATCTGTCCTGGCTGCCACCTGTAACTTCTCTGAAGATAACAAGCTTGGTGAAAGGGGCTTTGGACCTGATTATAAGGTAAGGCTTAAAGTGATTAAAAAAAAGTATACCAATAGCAGAGAAATATCATAGTTTTTAGGTTTTTTTGGGGACAACTGAAAAATATTATGAATTGCCGATTCAGGAAAAATTGGCGACAGGAAGAGAAATAGCTGTAAAGAGACTTTCCAAATGCTCAAGATAAGGAACATTGCAGTTTAAAAATGAATTAAGACTTATATATGAACCCCAACATACAAACCTTGTTCAGCTCTTTGGATTTTGCATCCATGGCAAAGAGAGGATGGTGATATATGAGTACATGCCAAACAAAAGCTTGGACTACTTTTTATTTGGTTGGGAAATTTGCCTTCGTTAATCTTTGTACTGGATTTCATTTGTTCAATTTGTTATATGAATTTTAATAAACTGTCATATATTGGACAGAATCAACCAGAGGTTTGCTCCTAGTTTGGAAGAAGCGTTTAAGTATAATTGAAGGAATCGCTCAGGGGTTGCTTTACTTGTACAAGTACTTAGGAGATTCAGGCATGGGAGTTGTGGAATGAAGGTGGAGGGCTTGAATTAATGGATCCAAATCTAGGAGATTCATGTATTAAAGATCAATTCTTAAGATGCATGCTTGTTGCTCTCCTTTGCGTGGAAGAGAATGCAGCCGATAGACCAACTATGTCAGATGTCATATCTATGCTGACAAGTGAAAGCATGGAGTTAGCTATGCCAACAAAGCCAGCATTTTACACAGAAAGAAACGTGGCCACTGCTGCTATAGCTAGATAGAAAGGGACCACAAGTTATATTGATAAAATTATTTGTCCAATTCCAATCTGGTGATGAGTTACTTGTGTAGAATTATGAATCTAATATAAGGAAGTTGTTATTGTAATAGGATGACGTTTATATTACAGCAACTGTGTGTGAGTTCACTAAAACCCATTTCCAGCTAAGAATGATTGGACATTTATCAATATCTTACTGTCTTTTATCAGAAACTTGACTTGGGTTCTTTTTTAATGAGCATTCTTTTAAGGTTTAGCTAGTTTGAAACTTCAGCTGTGACTCATTACCTACCAGTATGAGAAAACGACAGTGCTTTCAAATTCAAATCTCTCCTTCCCCTCTACATTTTCAAACCTTCAGCAAATGGCTTTGCACCTCTTAACCAGAAAATTAATATTATTCATCATGATTAAGTACAAGTGTTCCCTTATATATTTTATTTATTCCTTTTAAATAACCCTCGATGGTACGAGGAATTTGTTTAGTTATTCTTTTTGTTACAATTTGGAATTATCGTCTTCCCACAAATACGACTCCAACCAGGAGCCAAGTGCCTTGTGAAGAAAGAAAAGCAAAGAGAAAAGAAAGGAAGATATAACCTTCTCTCCAAGAGCACAGATGGATGATGGATATGGTGTGTCCATAAGTATAAAAAAGAGTGAGTCAAACTATTTCCCTAATTTTAAAATCAAATAAAAGAAAACAAAGTCTTCATGTCGAATTGTAAGAACTTTATTTGATGCCTAAACTATTTCAGTTAAGTGTTCATGATCATCTTGAGAAATTAACTGCCTGACCTGTTGACATCCATGGCTACCGGTTTGATGATGATCAGCTCAATTATCTTCATCATTTTTGCTTCCTTGTGGACTTACCATGATGCTGCAAGTGACACACTCAAACCAGGGGACACTCTCAATTCCTCAAGTTCCTTAGTATCTGCATCGGGAAAGTTCAGTTTGTATTTCTATGTATATATTGATGGTTCCAACAACAACAGCTATCTAGCTATCCTGAACAAAGAAGCTCCAAACAATGTATGGATTGGCAACCGAGACACACCTATTGTATACCCTTCATCTGCAGTTCTGACCTTGGACTGGAATAATACATTGAAACTGACTCACCAAGGTGGAGACCCTATTGTCATTTCCTCTGCTCCACAAACTAGCAATATTAGTACTAGTGTTGTGGCTACCCTTTGGATTCTGGCAATTTTATACTGCAAGAAGTGAACTCTACGGATGGATCGACAAAGCAGGTTTGGTGGCAAAGTTTTGACTATCCATTTGGCACATTTTACCTGGCATGAAGTTAGGTATTAATCATAAGAGTGGCCATCTTTGGTCGATGTCATCATGGGCTACTTACAACAACCCAATGCCAGGGCCATTCACTCTTGATTGGGATCCCAATGGACACCAATTGCAAATCAGGCGACAGGGGGTGCTTTATTGGACTAGTGGAGTCTTTACAAGCAGTAGTAAAACGTTTGAATTTATTTCGGCTGAGGAGTCCAAGCTGAGGTATAATTTTAGTGTAGTTTCAAATGAGAATGAAGACTACTTCACTTACACTGCTGTAGATCATGATCAAAGTGATCAGAAACCACAATGGGTGCTAACCTTTATGGGGAGCTTTCATGACGGATCCTTTAATTTCGCACAAGCAGAGGACTGTGATGGCTATAACACAGTTGGAGGGTGTGTGAGAGGATCGGCCAAGTGATTGCATGGCCAAATTCGATGATGAATTTGAGCTCAAAAATGGTTACTTCAAGATCAACAACTCTAGTAATAGTTCGAGATCCCCGTCCTGGTTTGGCACTAGTAGTAGTGATTGTAAGGCTACCTGTTGGCAAAATTGTGATTGCCTTGGATTTGAGATTCAAGTGAGAGTCTTATTCGTAATTTTTGTTTTTTCAAAGGTTAGAGAATAATGTAAACACAATTAATTGAGAAAATGAAATGTGCTAAGATTAAAGTAGCTTGAGTTCCCAACCAAACAAAAAGTAGTCCAAGCTTTTGTTCTGCATGTACTCATATATCAACATCTTCTCTTCTTCATGAATGCAAAATCCAAATAGCTGAACAAGGTTCGTATGTTGGAGTTCATATATGAGTATCAATTCATTCTTAAACTCCACCGTGCCTTGTCCTGAACATTTTGAAAGCCTCTTCACAGCTACTTCTCGTCCTGTTGCCAATTTCCCCTGAATTTATAACCCATAAAATATTTCTCAGTTATTCCAAAAAAGAAAAAAACTATTTTATATATCCCTTTTGGCTATTGATGTAAGCAGAAAACATGTACACTTTCTATTATTTAGAGACTTACCTTATAAACAGGACCAAAGCCCCCTTGGCCGAGCTTGTTTGCTTCAGAGAAGTTGCTTGTGGCAGCCAAGACAGATTCATAGGTAAATACGCTTAAATCAGGGTGTCTAATATTTCCATGATCATTTTCAATCGCAATAACATGATCAGTAGGTCTTTCAGATTTCATGAACTTAAGCAATATTTTCTGAATCTTTGTCCCGTTCTTGCCTATTTAAATTGGTATTGAAAGGTTAGAACTGCTCTCATTATGGCACAATAATAATCGAAGAAGTGAAATTTTGGCTAACAACTGCTCTCATTATGCTTAAGGAATTTACCTGCTGAAAGCATAAATTTTGTTCCTCTTAGTCGATAGCACAATATGCAAAACCCAATTACCAGTAGAGCGGCAATAGAAGTGCCAATCCATAACCCCTTATGCGTTGCATCTAGGAAAACATTTAATTAATTTTCTATATAGTAAGTTAAGCTTGTATTAGCCTATTGATGTGATAGTTAAACAAGTCTAGCTGATTAATTAATAAGATTAATAAGATTAGTAAATAGCTTGACTCACTAATCTTTCCGCGAGGTGGTGAATCTGGTGATTTTGGTGGCAGCGTTACTGAGTTTGGCACAACAAAACTATGAGTTGCAGTACTGAGGTCTTCAATGAATGCACAGTCCACACTCCAAAATCGGCATCCTGCACCAGTAGTCTGATTTCCAAATGGAAAGTCGAATCCAAGGCAGTCACAGTTTTGCCAACAAGTAACTTTACAATCTTCGCTACCAGTACCAATCCAGTTCGCAGGTCTCGAAGCATTAGCAGAATTGATGATCGTGAAGTTACCTTTTTTAATCTCAAAATCATCACCTAATTTCCCAACACAATCGCTTGGGCGGTCCCTTCTCACACACCCTCCGACAGTGTTATAGCCATCACAGTTTTGTGCTCGTATAATATCAACTTGGGCACCATACTCATAAAGTGCACCTCTGGTGTATAGCACCCATTCTGGCTCAGGATCATTTGGATCATCTAGACTAGTATAAGTGAGGTAGTCTTCGTTTTGATTTGAAACGATGCTAAAATTGTACCTCTGCTTAATATATTCGAATCTCCCCTCTGCAAAGACCCCGCAAGTCCAAAAAATAACCCCACTTTTCTTAATTTTCAATTGGTGTGCATTGGTATCCCAATCAAGGCTGAAAGGCCCCGACAACACAGGGTTGTCGCTAGACCCCCATGATAAAAGAGACCAAACGTGCTCATTTATATGGTCAACACCCAATTTCATGCCTGGTAAAAATGTGTCCATTGGATAATCAAAACTTTGCCACAAGATTTGGATCGTGGATCCATTGACAGGGCTCACTTCTTGAAGGACAAAATTGCCGGAATCCAAAAGGGTAGCCACAACACTAGTAATACTAGTAGTGTTTGGAGCAGAAAGGATAAAAGGGTGTCCATTTCGGTGAGTAATTTTCAATGTGTTATTGAAGTCCAAGGTAAGAAGTGGGGATGAAGAGGATAAAACAGGTGAGTGTGGGTTCGCAATCCATGCTTTGTTTGCTTCAGTTTTGATGCGCAGGATAGCAAGAAAGCTCATTTCCGAATTGCCGACAGGTTTTGTAATGAAATTCAAAGTGAACTTGCCTAATGCTGATACCAAGGAACTTGTGGAATTGAGAGTGTCCCCTGGTTTCAGTGTGTCTATTGCATCATAACAAGTCCACAAAGATGCAAGAATGATCAAGATAATTGTGTGCTTCATCATCAAGCCTGCAGTCTTGAATGATCACAAGGCCAACAGTACTTTACCTTCTCCTAGATGATCATGACAACCTGTCTTTCTTCCTCTGTATTTTGCCTCTTTAATTATGTTTACGGCTAAAAAAGTCTTCTCTTGACCCAAAATGCAAAACACCAAGAAAATCTCTTTCACTAGTTCATTAAGTACTCAAAAAATTACCCATCAGTGATATGTTTTAAAACCACAAAAAACAAAAACAAAAACAAAAAGAACGAGGCAATACGAAATTTCTTGAAAGTTGGCTGAGAAAAATACCTCTCAAGTCTCAGCTTACTTCATGAAACTGCAATGATCTCACAGAATAGTTGGGGACAGAGAGCGAGAAACAGAGACAGAAGGGTTGGAGTGAATTAGTGTGAAGGATTGAAAAACTTGAGAGTTTACGATCAATTGGGTTGGTGCTAAACAGTATCATGCTTTTAAAACATGATAAAAATTGAAGTGTTTTTCGTCGTCGGCCTATGTCTTGGCTTGAACATATATAAAATATATGCAGGATTGAAAACTCAACTCATACGTACCTAATTAATTCACTCCAATACCAAGGAAAGCCAGGCCTGCTGGGAGGGAGGAGACCCTATATATCTGATAACGCAACATCTTCCTGGTAATTTATTGCGTGAATTGCCTATTTTTCCGAAAACACTGTAAATTACGATAAGTTATAGTGTAAAATGCCTATATATCTGAGAAAACCAAGTCTTACTCGTAATTTATTGAGTAAGTAGCTTAATTTTATAAAAACATCATATCTTACCGGTAAGTTATCGTGTAAAAAGCCTATATATTTGAAAACGCAACATCTTACCCGTAGTATATTTTGTGTAAATAGCAAATTTTTCTAAAAACACCATATCATAAGGCTAAGTTATAGTGTTAAATGCCAATATATTTGATAACGCAACATCTTACCCGTAATTTATTGAGTAAATTGCATATTTTTTGAAAAACATCATATCTTACCGGTAAGTTATAGTGTAAAAAGCCTATATATTTGAGAATGCAAGATTTTACCCGTAATTTATTGAGTAAATAGCCAATTCTTTTTAAAACACCATATCCTATTGGTAAGTTACAGTGTAAAATGTCTATATATCTGAGAACGCAACATCTTAACCATAATTTATCGAGTAAATAGAATATTTTTCTAAAAACATCATATCTTATAGTGTGAAAGGCCTATATATCTGATAACGCAACATTTTCCTGGTAATTTATTGCGTGAATTGCCTATTTTTCTGAAAACACTATAAATTACGATAAGTTATAGTGTAAAATGCCTATATATCTGAGAAAACAAAATCTTACTCGTAATTTATTGAATAAGTAGCTTATTTTTATAAAAACACCATATCTTACCGGTAAGTTATCGTGTAAAAAGCCTATATATTTGAAAACGCAACATCTTACCCATAATATATTGTGTAAATAACAAATTTTTCTAAAAACACCATATCATAAGGCTAAGTTATAGTATTAAATGCCAATATATTTGAGAACGCAACATCTTACCCGTAATTTATTGAGTAAATTGCATATTTTTTGAAAAACATCATATCTTACCGGTAAGTTATAGTGTAAAAAGCCTATATATTTGAGAATGCAATATTTTACCCGTAATTTATTGAGTAAATAGCCAATTCTTTTTAAAACACCATATCTTATTGGTAAGTTACAGTGTAAAATGTCTATATATCTGAGAACACAACATCTTAACCTTAATTTATTGAGTAAATAGCATATTTTTCTAAAAACACCATATCTTACCGGTAAGTTATAGTGTAAAAAGCCTATATATTTGAGAATGCAACATCTTACCCATGATTTATTGCGTAAATAACATATTTTTCTAAAAACACCATATCTTAAAGCTATGTTATAGTGTTAAATGCCAATATATTTGAGAACGCAACATCTTACCCGTAATTTATTGAGTAAATTGCATATTTTTTGAAAAACATCATATCTTACCGGTAAGTTATAGTGTAAAAAGCCTATATATTTGAGAATGCAATATTTTACCCGTAATTTATTGAGTAAATAGCCAATTCTTTTTAAAACACCATATCTTATTGGTAAGTTACAGTGTAAAATGTCTATATATCTGAGAACGCAACATCTTAACCTTAATTTATCGAGTAAATAGCATATTTTTCTAAAAACATCATATCTCACCGATAAATTATAGTGTAAAAAGCATATATATATATATATATATCTATCTGATAATGCAACATCTTACCCGTAACTTATTGCGTGAATTGCCTATTTTTCTAAAAACACTATAAATTACGGTAAGTTATAGTTTAAAATGCGTATTTATCTGAGAACGCAAAATCAATGCCTATTTATTTGAGAACGCAAAATCTTACCTGTAATTTATTGAGTAAATAGCTTATTTTTCTAAAAACACCATATCTTACCGGTAAGTTATAGTGTAAAAAGCCTATATATTTGAGAATGCAACATCTTACCCATGATTTATTGCGTAAATAACATATTTTTCTAAAAACACCATATCTTAAAGCTAAGTTATAGTGTTAAATGCCAATATATTTGAGAACGCAACATCTTACCCGTAATTTATTGAGTAAATTGCATATTTTTTGAAAAACATCATATCTTACCGGTAAGTTATAGTGTAAAAAGCCTATATATTTGAGAATGCAAGATTTTACCCGTAATTTATTGAGTAAATAGCCAATTCTTTTTAAAACACCATATCTTATTGGTAAGTTACAGTGTAAAATGTCTATATATCTGAGAACGCAACATCTTAACCTTAATTTATCGAGTAAATAGCATATTTTTCTAAAAACATCATATCTTATAGTGTAAAAGGCCTATATATCTGATAACGCAACATCTTCCTGGTAATTTATTGCGTGAATTGCCTATTTTTCTGAAAACACTATAAATTACAATAAGTTATAGTGTAAAATGCCTATATATCTGAGAAAACAAAATCTTACTCGTAATTTATTGAATAAGTAGCTTATTTTTATAAAAACACCATATCTTACCGGTAAGTTATCGTGTAAAAAGCCTATATATTTGAAAACGCAACATCTTACCCATAATATATTGTGTAAATAACAAATTTTTCTAAAAACACCATATCATAAGGCTAAGTTATAATGTTAAATGCCAATATATTTGAGAACGTAACATCTTACCCGTAATTTATTGAGTAAATTGCATATTTTTTGAAAAACATCATATCTTACCGGTACGTTATAGTGTAAAAAGCCTATATATATGATAACGCAATATCTTACCCATAATTAATTTAGTAAATAGCCAATTTTTCTAAAAACATCATATCTTACCGGTAAGTTACAGTGTAAAATGCCTATATATCTGAGAACGCAACATCTTAACCTTAATTTTTCGAGTAAATAGCTTATTTTTCTAAAAACATCATATCTCACCGATAAATTATAGTGTAAAAAGCCTATATATATATATATCTATCTGATAATGCAACATCTTACCCGTAACTTATTGCGTGAATTGCCTATTTTTCTAAAAACACTATAAATTACGGTAAGTTATAGTTTAAAATGCGTATTTATCTGAGAACGCAAAATCAATGCCTATTTATTTGAGAACGCAAAATCTTACCTGTAATTTATTGAGTAAATAGCTTATTTTTCTAAAAACACCATATCTTACCGGTAAGTTATAGTGTAAAAAGCCTATATATTTGAGAATGCAACATCTTACCCATGATTTATTGCGTAAATAACATATTTTTCTAAAAACACCATATCTTAAAGCTAAGTTATAGTGTTAAATGCCTATATATTTGAGAACGCGACATCTTACCTGTAATTTATTGAGTAAATTGCATATTTTTCGAAAAACATCATATCTTACCGGTAAGTTATAGTGTAGAAAGCCTATATATCTGATAACGCAACATCTTACTTATAATTTATTGAGTAAATAGCCAATTTTTCTAAAAACACCATATCTTACTGGTAAGTTACAGTGTAAAATGCATATATATATATATATATATATCTGAGAACGTAACATCTTAATCTTAATTGATCAAGTAAATAACTTATTTTTCTAAACACACCATATCTTACCGGTAAGTTATAGTGTAAAAAGCCTATATATTTGATAATGCAACATCTTACCCGTAATTTGTTGCGTGAATTGCCTATTTTTCTGAAAACACTATAAATTCCGGTAAGTTATAGTGTAAAATGCCTATATATCTGAGAAGGCAACATCTTACCCGTAATTTATTGAGTAAAAAGCTTATTTTTCTAAAAACATCATATCTTACGGGTAAGTTATAGTGTAAAAAACCCTATATATCTGATACCGCAACATCTTACCCGTAATTTATTGTATAAATAGCATATTTTTCTAAAAACACCATATCTTAAAGCTAAGTTATAGTGTTAAATGCTTATATATTTGAGAACGCAACATCTTACCCGTAATTTATTGAGTAAATTGCATATTTTTCGAAACACAACATATCTTACCGGTAAGTTATAGTGTAAAAAGCCTATATATCTGAGAACACAACATCTTACCCGTAATTTGTTGAGTAAATATCCAATTTTTCTAAAAACAACATATCTTACCTGTAAGTTATAGTGTAAAATGCCTACATATCTGAGAACGCAACATCCTAACCTTAATTTATCTAGTAAATAGCTTATTTTTCTAAAAACATCATATCTTACCAGTAAGTTATAGTGTTAAAAGCCTATATATCTTAGAACACAACATCATACCCGTAATTTATTTAGTGAATTGCCTATTTTTCTAAAAACACCATATCTTACCGGTAAGTTACAGTGTAACATTCCTATATATCTGAGAAGGCAACATCTTACCCGTAATTTATTGAGTAAATAGCTTATTTTTCTAAAAACATCATATCTTACTGGTAAGTTATAGTGTAAAAAGCCTATATATCTGAGAACGCAACATCATACCCGTAATTTACTTATTAGGCCATCTCCAGAAGTGGAGGGCTAAACATAGCCCATCTATAAAATTTAACACACTGTTTATAGTTTTTTTTTAATCAATAGTGATGGACTATATTTTTATTGTAAAATAGACCTGAAATAATAATAATGGCTAGCTGACGTCAGCAGATCTGAAATAGCACATCCATGAATATGGCCAAGTTTAGCTCAGCACTTGGTCTCTTCAGCTTGCTAACTGGGTTTGACCAGTGACATGGCAAGTTTAGCCAACTTGCTGGAAATGGCTTTTGGGGTATGAAAAGGCTTAATTTGTGAGTTTAACCCACTACTGGAGACAGCCTTAGTCTTCATGGGGGCTAATTCTTCTTATTTCAATAATATATCTTCATTATATTATACATAGAAAATAGAATAATTTCATTGCCACAAAGAAGATAAATAATTATTTTTTCAATGATTTGGAGCCTTGATGTAACCAACGTGAGTGGAGTCGGCAACCTTAGTTAAAGTTTTCAAATCATAAGCTATCAAACACCTTGATGTATGTTGGTTGTAAAAGTAGCCCAAACACTTGCAATCCGATGTACATTTACTAGCACAAGCATTCTCCTTCACACCATATCCCTCTGTGTCTTTGCTAAAGTGATCTACTCCTTCAACTTTATAGTAATGAAAGCTGTTTGCCTCGCAAGAAGGCAAGAACTTAGCTTCTTAGGCACACGGCTCTTGCTCCAAATCAATAGTCTCTTGGACGATGGGCAACCAACGCATTGGTTGTCCTCACAAAGGCCAAACTTCCCACATCGCTCGGGCGATTCACACTCACTGATTTCCCATTGTGGTAAATCTCTACTGAAAAGTGTGAAGGTTACCTCCCATGCACCCCAATTTACGTCTTCGTAGTAAGTGTAAATCCTAAGGTTTCCATCGATTTCAAGCCTCAGGAACGAAAGCATGCTGTTGTATTTGGGTCTAGCCAGAAGGAATTTTGTAGCATAAGAAGATGGCTTGGCCTGGATCTAAGTTTATGTCATAGGCATGGCCCTCATATGTGTCCGGGGTGCAATTCAATGTCATATGGTCCCATGATTCGGTTATATCAGATCTCATATTCAAATAGGGTAAAGGCTTTGGAGAGTTCTTGCTCTTATAGTGCATAACCAATCCTTTAGGCCCCAAAATCAAGCTATAAGCTCCATTATAATTTTCTTTCACGGAGGCTCGTCTGTTGGGTAGTCAAAGCTTTGCCAAATAAAGTTGCTCTTGGTCATTGAGTTGTAGAGGACCATGTTTCCAGTTGGAAGCAGCTTGAGGCCTACCACACCTTTGTTTTCAGTGTTGGTTTGCCATGCCACTCGGCCATCCGTGTCGGTAAACAAGGTTGCTGTCTGTCCCGAATGTGAGAGTGGCGTTTTCGCCAACCCGGTTTCCCCGGTTGACCTCCCAAACCCAAGCAAGGGTGGTTTTAAGTACTTGAAGAAATTCCCATTTGCAGAGCAAGAGTGAAGGTGTTGGGGGTGGTGTTGTAGAAGCAAAGTTGAAGGGGGTAGTTAGAAACATTGAGAACTCGATATGTAGCATCATATTCTACAAGAGAATAGTTAGGAAATGGTATATATATCCTTGGAGAGGATCTTCAAACTCTCCTCTCTTGAAAAACTTGAAAGTTTGATTTGTGGGAACTTAAGCTTGAGCAATGGAACAAATGTTTGAGAAAATGATAAGGGAGAGCAATGACACGGTGACTTAGGGGAGTTCATTTTCTATAGCTTGCTTAAGGCCTAGATAAACCCTCTATTTAATTATGATTGAAAATCAAGGATAATTATGTAACTACACTCAGCCCTTTACAGCCTCAAAGAGAGATAACTATACGTTTAAAATATTCGAATATATTAACATTTATACTTTTAATATATTCGGAAGTATTTAGAAAGTATAGCCGTCCGGCTATACGTTTAAAATTTTCTAATATATTTGGCGACTATACTCTTGAGATATCAAATTTTGTAAATACATTGCTGCGATGATTTGAATTTTATGAAATGTTTGCCATGAAATAAGAAAAAAAGAAAAAAAAAAAAAAAAAAAAAAAAAAAAAAAAAAAATTTATTGATTATAAAATCAATTGTCTTTTTTCTCTTGGGTTGAAAGTAAGATCAGTGTTCTTCCAACTGAAGGCATCCCCAAAGCACACGTTACATCCCATGGTCGTTTATGCGAAACTCAATAAATTGTAAACGTGAAATTTACAGCTTAAAGTCTTCACTTGAGGCGATAGGTATACAGCCTCTAGTTATTACACTTTGAATTGATATAGAACTATATATGTATAGGGGGTGGATCCATGACACTACATTTTTGACACGAGTCCTAACTCACGTGGATGGACGACCATGCCCTCTAAGAAACTGAAGACAGAACAAGGGCCATAAGTCAGCTGTATTTTTTTTCGCTGCTCTGTTTTGGTTTATGTCTCCTGCTGTTCTGGTTTTGTTTTTTAAAATGAAAGAGGTTTGTTAAAAAAATTGAGCTTTTAGACCACAAGTCCAACTTCATACCACCTCACATATATTAATTTTCCAAAAAGACAATTAATGTACAAACAAAAAACGAACATTAACAGCAAATTATATTACCCCTATATCTGCATGTCTGATGAAATGAATTTAGGGGGCCTTCTGAAACCAAGGCTCACTCCAAAAGCTCATACAAGAGGATATTGATTGGCACTACTTTTGCCGGTGCTCTAGTACTAGTAATGGTGCTCTGCATCGGGTTCCATCTACAACGAAGAAAAAAGTTTGTACTTTCAGCTGGTATATTCTTTAAACTTTATGTGTACATGTTAAACATAATTTTCGCATCTTTAACAATTGTGTCAAATTTAAAATCTTAATTGTCTACACGATGAATCTAAACAGGCGATGGCAGGACAAACAGTCCGAACGAATTGCTCAACTTCATGATATATAATAGACCTACTGATGATTTTGATGGGCTTCAAAATGATCATGGAAACATGGGACGTCATGCTTTAAGCATATTTAGCTTTGCATCTGTCCTGGCTGCCACCTGTAACTTCTCTGAAGATAACAAGCTTGGTGAAAGGGGCTTTGGACCTGATTATAAGGTAAGGCTTAAAGTGATTAAAAAAAAAGTATACCAATAGCAGAGAAATATCATAGTTTTTAGGTTTTTTTGGGGACAACTGAAAAATATTATGAATTGCCGATTCAGGAAAAATTGGCGACAGGAAGAGAAATAGCTGTAAAGAGACTTTCCAAATGCTCAAGATAAGGAACATTGCAGTTTAAAAATGAATTAAGACTTATATATGAACCCCAACATACAAACCTTGTTCAGCTCTTTGGATTTTGCATCCATGGCAAAGAGAGGATGGTGATATATGAGTACATGCCAAACAAAAGCTTGGACTACTTTTTATTTGGTTGGGAAATTTGCCTTCGTTAATCTTTGTACTGGATTTCATTTGTTCAATTTGTTATATGAATTTTAATAAACTGTCATATATTGGACAGAATCAACCAGAGGTTTGCTCCTAGTTTGGAAGAAGCGTTTAAGTATAATTGAAGGAATCGCTCAGGGGTTGCTTTACTTGTACAAGTACTTAGGAGATTCAGGCATGGGAGTTGTGGAATGAAGGTGGAGGGCTTGAATTAATGGATCCAAATCTAGGAGATTCATGTATTAAAGATCAATTCTTAAGATGCATGCTTGTTGCTCTCCTTTGCGTGGAAGAGAATGCAGCCGATAGACCAACTATGTCAGATGTCATATCTATGCTGACAAGTGAAAGCATGGAGTTAGCTATGCCAACAAAGCCAGCATTTTACACAGAAAGAAACGTGGCCACTGCTGCTATAGCTAGATAGAAAGGGACCACAAGTTATATTGATAAAATTATTTGTCCAATTCCAATCTGGTGATGAGTTACTTGTGTAGAATTATGAATCTAATATAAGGAAGTTGTTATTGTAATAGGATGACGTTTATATTACAGCAACTGTGTGTGAGTTCACTAAAACCCATTTCCAGCTAAGAATGATTGGACATTTATCAATATCTTACTGTCTTTTATCAGAAACTTGACTTGGGTTCTTTTTTAATGAGCATTCTTTTAAGGTTTAGCTAGTTTGAAACTTCAGCTGTGACTCATTACCTACCAGTATGAGAAAACGACAGTGCTTTCAAATTCAAATCTCTCCTTCCCCTCTACATTTTCAAACCTTCAGCAAATGGCTTTGCACCTCTTAACCAGAAAATTAATATTATTCATCATGATTAAGTACAAGTGTTCCCTTATATATTTTATTTATTCCTTTTAAATAACCCTCGATGGTACGAGGAATTTGTTTAGTTATTCTTTTTGTTACAATTTGGAATTATCGTCTTCCCACAAATACGACTCCAACCAGGAGCCAAGTGCCTTGTGAAGAAAGAAAAGCAAAGAGAAAAGAAAGGAAGATATAACCTTCTCTCCAAGAGCACAGATGGATGATGGATATGGTGTGTCCATAAGTATAAAAAAGAGTGGGTCAAACTATTTCCCAAATTTTAAAATCAAATAAAAGAAAACAAAGTCTTCATGTCGAATTGTAAGAACTTTATTTGATGCCTAAACTATTTCAGTTAAGTGTTCATGATCATCTTGAGAAATTAACTGCCTGACCTGTTGACATCCATGGCTACCGGTTTGATGATGATCAGCTCAATTATCTTCATCATTTTTTATTTTAGTAGTGTAGAGTCTTTGCAATTTGATTTTAGTACCATTGTAGTGGCCACGAACAATTTCTCTGATGATAATAAGTTAGGGGAAGGTGGATTTGGTCAAGTTTACAAGAATGTACATTCCATCGATTCATTGATTGAAGGTTGTTCTCAGGGTATACTTTCAAATGGTCAAGAAGTAGCTGTGAAGAGGCTTTCAAGGAACTCTGGCCAAGGTGCAGAGGAATTTAAGAATGAGATGGTATTGGTAGCCAAGCTTCAACACAGAAATCTGGTCAGGCTATATGGATTTTGCTTGGAAGGAGAAGAAAAGATACTTGTTTATGAATATGTGCCCTGGAACATCTGATAGTCTTTTCTACTGCAAAAACAATGTTACTTCAACATGTATTTGAATCTGTTTCCTTGATGATAACTTGATTGCTCAATTGTGATGATTTTCAGACCCTGAGAAACAAGGACAATTGGATTGGTCAAGACGTTATAAGATTATTGCAGGGATTGCTCGAGGAATAATGTACCTACATGAAGATTCCCGACTTAGAATTATACATCGTGATCTCAAGGCTAGCAATATATTGTTAGATGGGGAGATGCATCCAAAAATATCTGATTTTGGCATGGCCAGGATTTTTGGGGTTGATCAAACTCAAGCAAACACAAGTAGAATTGTTGGAACATAGTAAGTTCTCTCATTCATCTTTTCTTTTCTCATCACCACTTTTGTTCTGCATTATCTGGATTGATGAATTTGAGAAATGGTCCCATCTGCACTCAACAGAAAGTCCACTTTGACCCTTGATAATATCTGTATGAACTCAGACAGGGATGATGTAATTTTTTAATCATACTTCATGCTCTATAAATAATGAAAGCCACTTAGTCTTACACGAAATTGAATGGATTAAATTATTGACATGAATATGATAAGTTTACTCCTTAAATTTTGCTACAGTTTCTATACCAATGGATGGTTTTGCTTCTTGCAGTGGCTATATGTCTCCAGAGTATGCAATGCATGGACAATTTTCTGTCAAGTCCGATGTATATAGTTTCGGTGTTTTACTGCTAGAAATCATAAGTGGCAAGAAGAATAGTTATTTCTTTCAAACTGATGCAGCTGAAGACCTCATGAGCCATGTAAGCTTAAACTGAAAACAATGTAGTTTTGTTCTTCTGCACTAACACCACCACAACATAAATAAAACTGTTCAATTTATGCAGGCTTGGAAACGATGGAGAGATGGGACGCCTTTGGAATTGTTGGATCCGAGTATGAGAGATTCTTATTCCAGGAGTGAAATTATAAGGTGTATGCATATCGGCTTACTTTGTGTTCAGGAAGATCCAGCGGACAGACCTACGATGCAGTCCGTAGTTCTCATGCTTAATAGCTACTCTGTGACTCTGCCATTACCTGAACAGCCAGCATTTTTCCTTCGAAGTCGAACGGAGGGGAACATGCCAAATATAACTTCGGAGTCTGATCTATCTATCAGTAAGTCAACTCCATCCGTTGATGAAGCATCTATCACTGCAGTATACCCTAGATAGCGTGAATGAACAAGATGTTATATCTTGTATTATCTGTTTATATTTGTAATCACAAATGTGAAACTTGTACTCTTGGTTTCATACGACTCTTGTTAGGATTGAAAACATCAAATGGTATTTCTGTCTTGTGAGTTTCAATATCTTTGATTTTGAGCTTAGATTTACATCCACATATCGTGATTCACAAGGTTTTAAGTCTTCACATCTGTATCTTCACATCTTTATCTTGGAAAGATCTCTCCTTTGTGGGTCTGGGTTGAATCTTCTGCAGTTTTGTGACGTCAATACCAAATAAATTTACAACCGGCTTAATAAGGTAGTTGTGCTTGTGGTCGCATCACTCTCTTGTATTGATGAGTAAAGTTATGATGGATAGGATACCATCTTCTTTTCTGGTCATCTTCATCTCCACATAGGAGATAATGCGAAAAATGAAATACATACAATTTGTGGAACATACTAAATAATGATGGCCATAATCGCGAGGAAGACATGAGGTGGTGGCAAGAAATGGAGAAAAACTTCCCTATCTCTGTTTCATTGCGTTCCCCCTCTCTCTCCTAATATCACCTATAAGAGGAGGAGGAGGAGGGAGAGAGAGAGAGAGAGAGAGAGAGAGAGAGAGAGAGAGAGAGGAAGGCAATGAAACGGGGGATAGGGAAGTATTTGTCCAAGAAATGGGATCAGCTCAGCTGGTTATATAAATCAATGTGTGAGTGAAGAAACAATTGGAAATGCAATAAATATTTGAAAATGCAAGAAATATGAAGAAACAATTGGAAATGCAAGAAATATTAACAACATATTGAAAATGCAAGAAATATTAACAAAATATTTAAAATGCAAGAAATATTAACAAAATATTGAAAATGCAATAAATATTAACAACATATATATATTAGGACATTAAACTTAATAAAACGAAAATTACAAAATACTTACCTCGTTAGTACGATTTTCCCCACTTCTATACAAGTTTATCGCTTTTGCCAAGGCATCTCTCCATTTTGCCATCTCTTTGTTGAGAAGTTTCCACCTATTCGACAATGTCATTTCCGTACGAGGCGACTCCGGAATTTTTTCGCAAAATTCGGCATGAATTTTTTTCCACATATGGAAAAATTTCATATCATTGCCTGTCAAGGGACAATGACAAACTCGGAGCCAAGCCTCACACAAAGAAACATCTTGCATGGTGCTCCACGCCCCTCCGGTTTCAATAGAAGAAGCCATAAAAATAAGAAATAAAAATACAAGGTGAAAGAGATGAAAATTTTGAGTGAAGAGTGAATAAAATGTTGAGTAATTGTAGAAGTAGAATAAAATGTATGAGAATTGGTGTTGAAAGTGAAGGGTATTTATAGGTATTTATAGGAAAAAAATCAGAATTTTATAGTATTTTTTTAAAAAAAATTAGATTTTTTTTCATTATTTTATTGCTGAAAAAATGCCAGCCGTTGGATGAAGGCTGTGGAAGCAAATCGGAGCGCTGGGGGCATGCCACGTGGCTTCTAGCCGTTGGACATGCGTCGCGCTGACGTCAGTGCACGCTAGTTCAAATTTTTTTTACCGCATGTCGACGTCAGCCTGACATCGAGCTGACGTCACCCCCCTCGTTTTGGACCTCGGGCGGAAGTTGCCTTCGGGCCAGCCCAAGTTGGTGGGTCCCACACCTCCCCCGGGCCTGGGCTGTCCGCTGGAACGCAATTTTTTTTCTTTTTTCCCCCCCAGACTCGGGCTAGGCTCCCTTGCTGGAGCTGCTCTTAAGGCTATGTAAGTTTAAATCATACAAAAGTTTCTCAAGCTAATACATGTAGCTATCTCAATGTAAGACATACATGCATGCTTAAAATGTAATAAATGCAGGCTTGGCAATTATGGAACGAAACGAAAGTGTTGGAGTTGATGGATCCGTTGTTGAAAGACTCATGCAGGGCGAATGAGTTTTTGCGATACATCCATATTGGATTATTGTGTGTTGAAGAAGATGCAAACAAGAGGCCAGCCATGTTATCGATTGTTCTAATGTTCCCCGTTTAGTCAGATGACAATTTTAATCTTTGCATTATGAAGTTGGAGTTGGCCTTTGATAAAATGCTAATTTGTGGGCAATTAAAATTAAGGGAGTTTCACTAAAACACCCAAAATGGGAGCTGAAATTATAAAAAAATCCAACACTCAAAACACTTTATAAACACACCCAAAACTCATCATTACACACACTCAAAACCCATTTATAAACACACCCAAAAAATATACAATTATTGATTTTGGGGTTGATTTTGGGTGTGTTTCTATGTTTAAATAGTGCTTAGGTTTTTTCATAAATACATATCTAGAATTTGATTTATTTATAAATTTGTATAAAATTAAACCCGCATTTCAATCCTCCATTAAATTTCGTTAAACATTGTATTAATATGCCCAGCTCTAGCTAATTACTAAAACGAAGCCCAACGGCACTTCACAAACTCTAAACATAAATAGGGCCAAGCCCAAAAAAAAAAGTAGGGAGATTCACTAATATACCCAATATGGGAGCCCAAATTATAAAAATACCCCATATGAAATGAACTTTATAAACACACCCAAAACTCATTTACAACATAACAAAGAGGCTTTAACTTCTTATAAATTACAAAACTACTATAAATTTCTTAAAACAAACCCAACCTCAAAATCTCATAAAAATACCCAAAACACTCAATAGGACATTAAAGTAATTTAATAATCAATATTAAATCCAATAAGGCCAGCTGTCATTTTTGGGGTTTTTTTTTGGTTTGTTTATAGAAATTCAATGATGGAGGGTTTATCTATAATATTAGTGCTAAGAATGGGTATATCACTAAATATCTAAAAAAAGTATCCAAAGAAAATGAACAAAAGTAGGCCCAATACAAAAAAAAAAAAAGAACAAAACACAGACAACAACAAACAAAAAAAAAAAAAAAAAAAAAAAAAAAAAAACCAAAACCAAAACAAACAAAATCACGGAATTATGGCCTCTTTATATTGTTTGTTTTCTTTGTTTTCAAAATTGATCAAGATACATGAGTAATTGTTCTTAATCATTTGAATTATAAGTGGTTTATTATTATACTGTTTGATGAATTAAGTCCATCAATGTGATGCGTTCTTTTGGAACCTTCCGATGAACTGGGTGGAGAAATAAATAATCCCTTTGGGCACTTCCGTCTCCATCGTCTTAAGTTTGATAATATTTTTATTTTATATAGTTTTTTTTGTCATTTCGTCTCCATCCTTTTCTTCAACGAATTTGAGTATGATGGTTTCATGGCGATAGACAGGTGTGAAGTGAGATATGCCGTCAACACACGGAAACATTAAAACTAGTTTCACTTTAGTGAATTTATTCATGAAACCCATTTCGACTTGGTAAAACTTTCTTCTTGTAATATTCTTGCGAATAATAATAATAATAATCAATATCAATATGATAACAACAAGAGATATTTAGTTAAATACACATTTTTAGTACTAAAATTATAAATAAACTCTATACTATTTAATTTTAATTTTTATAAACAAACTCAAAAAATGACAATTGACCCTATTTAATTTAATTTTGATTATTAAATTACTTTGATGTCCTATTGAGTGTTTTGGACTTTTTTGTGAGGTTTTAAAGTTGAGTTTGTTTTAAAAAATTAATAGCAATTTTGTAATTTAAAAGAATTTAAAGTTGGGTGTATTTCTAAAGTCTATTTCATATAAGATTTTTTTAATAATTTGACTCCTATATTAGGTATAACAGTAAAGCTCCTCGAAGAAAAAAAGGCCACTGCCCTCTCTCTCCTTCCCACTCCCGCCTGCCATTTTCCTCTGTTTCAAACTTTTGTTTTTTTTGTCTTTTATTTCATTGTCTCTTCTTCCTCTTCTTTGTCTATGAATCTGATGATAAAGACAACCACCACTGAGATAATATATCTTTCAAGTTCAACTTGGCTTGAGAAATAAACAGGGAGGGATTAGCTAGCTTAATTACCTGAGGATAGGGGATGGCCTGGGCTGGCTTCATCAAGATCAAAATGCTTCCCATGACTAATCTCATGCTTGTTTCCATTCTCTCCTCCATATTTGTTGTTACTCTGCTTAGCTTTCCCAGCCCAGCTGAAGCTGATTATCTATACCATGTCTGCCCAAACACTACCACTTTCACCCCGAACTCCACCTTCCAGTCCAACCTCAACCGCCTCCTCTCCACCCTCTCCTCCAACGCCACCCGCCCCTCCGGCTTCTACAACGCCACCGCCTCCTCCCGAACCCCAAACGACGCCGTCTACGGCCTCTTCCTCTGCCGCGGCGACGTCGCCGCCACCGATGCTTGCAAATCCTGCGTCTCCACCGCAACCTCCGGTGTCGTCCAGCGCTGCCCCACCGAGAAACAGGCCGTGATCTGGTACGACGACTGCATGCTACGCTACTCCAACGAGTCCTTCTTTTCCACCATGGCCGAGGCACCTCGCCTGTTCATGTGGAACGCCCAGAACGCCACCGAACAGACCCGCTTCAACCAGGTCCTGTCCACCCGTATGAACGAGGTGGCCACCGAGGCTGCCAACGACGCCGACAAGTTTGCGACGAGTCAGGGGAATGTTAGTGGGTTGGTTTCGATTTACAGCCTGGGGCAGTGCACGCAGGACCTGTCCTCAGCGGATTGCAACCGGTGTCTCAGGGGTGCCATAGCCCAATTTCCGAATTGTTGCAGTGGAAAGGAAGGGGCACGAGTGTTGTATCCGAGTTGTAACGTTAGGTACGAAGTCTACCCTTTCTACCAACAGAACTCCACGTCAGCACCTCAGCCTTCACCGGGGGCTCTACCTCCTCCTCTGCCGCCTAAAGGTAAAGTGAAGTGACCAGCTTTTCAATTCAAATTATGTCTTAAAATAGTTGGGGAATAGGTATCTATGCTAACTATGGTGGACTTTGGATTGGAACAGGGGAATATGGTTTTGGGATTTGGCTGTTCATTTTACTAATTTCTTCATATTTAGTTTGATGTATCAGTGTAGATTCTTATTGTTTATTATGCAGGAAAAAGCAAAATCCCTACAATTGTTGCCATTGTTGTCCCAATTGCCGTCTCTATGCTACTTTTTGTTGTGGGCTGCTGTTTCATTACTAGGAGAGCAAGAAAGAAGCGCAGTGCAGCAGCAGAGGCACCAAGCGGTAAAGAATATATATCTGAAGTGAATTCTAGTTTGTCATACAAATCAAAAGCATATTTTTGTTTCCTCATCTTCATGCATGAATGCTTTTCTTGTTTTTTTGTGTAGGTGAGAATGACATTAGTACTATAGAGTCTTTGCAATTTGATTTTAGTACCATTGTAGCGGCCACAAACAATTTCTCTGATGATAATAAGTTAGGGGAAGGTGGATTTGGTCAAGTTTACAAGGTATGTATGTATATCAACGTTTCTGCATCGGAAAATCTCAAGTCTTAATATTTTGAGAAACTAAGGAGGTTTTAATCAGCACTGGGAATTGTAAAAGTTGTGCAAGAATGTACATTCCATCGATTCATTGATTGAAGGTTGTTCTCAGGGTATACTTTCAAATGGTCAAGAAGTAGCTGTGAAGAGGCTTTCAAAGAACTCTGGCCAAGGTGCAGAGGAATTTAAGAACGAGATGGTATTGGTAGCCAAGCTTCAACACAGAAATCTGGTCAGGCTATATGGATTTTGCTTGGAAGGAGAAGAAAAGATACTTGTTTATGAATATGTCTCCAACAAAAGCCTTGACTATTTTCTATTTGGTTTGTGCCCTGAAACATCTGATAGTCTTTTCTACTGCAAGCAAAAACAATGTTACTTCAACATGTATTTGAATCTGTTTCCTTGATGATATCTTGATTGCTCAATTTTGATGATTTTCAGACCCTGAGAAACAAGGACAATTGGATTGGGTAAGACGTTATAAGATTATCGCAGGGATTGCTCGAGGAATAATGTACCTACACGAAGATTCCCGACTTAGAATTATACATCGTGATCTCAAGGCCAGCAATATATTGTTAGATGGGGAGATGCATCCAAAAATATCTGATTTTGGCATGGCCAGGATTTTTGGGGTTGATCAAACTCAAGCAAACACAAGTAGAATTGTTGGAACATAGTAAGTTCTCTCATTCATCTTTTCTTTTATCATAACCACTTTTGTTCTGCATTATCTGGATTGATGAATTTGAGAAATGGTCCCATCTGCACTCAACAGAAAGTCCACTTTGACCCTTGATAATATCTGTATGAACTCAGACAGGGATGATGTAATTTTTGAATCATACTTCATGCTCTATAAATAATGAAAGCCACTTAGTCTTACACGAAATTGAATGGATTAAATTATTGACATGAATATCATAAGTTTATATTTACTCCTTAAATTTTGCTACAATTTCTATACTGATGGATGGTTGTGCTTCTTGCAGTGGCTATATGTCTCCAGAGTATGCAATGCATGGACAATTTTCTGTCAAGTCTGATCTATATAGTTTTGGTGTTTTACTGCTAGAAATCATAAGTGGCAAGAAGAATAGTTGTTTCTTTCAAACTGATGCAGCTGAAGACCTCGTGAGCCATGTAAGCTTAAACTGAAAAAAAAACGTAGTTTTGTTCTTCTGCACCAACACCACCACAACATAAATAAAACTGTTCAATTTATGCAGGCTTGGAAACTATGGAGAGGTGGGACGCCTTTGGAATTGTTGGATCCGAGTATGAGAGATTCTTATTCCAGGAGTGAAGTTATAAGGTGTATCCATATCGGCTTACTTTGTGTTCAGGAAGATCCAGCGGACAGACCTACAATGCAATCCGTAGTTCTCATGCTTAATAGCTACTCTGTGACTCTGCCATTACCTGAACAGCCAGCATTTTTCCTTCGAAGTCGAACGGAGGGGAACATGCCAAAGATAACTTTGGAGTCTGTTCTGTCTCAACTCCATCCGTTGATGAAGGATCTATCACTGCAGTATACCCTAGATAGCGTGAATGAACAAGATGTTATATCTTGTATTATCTGTTTATATTTGTAAATTGTAATAACAAATATGAAACTTGTACTCTTGGTTTCATACGACTGTTAGGATTGAAAACATCAAATGGTATTTCTGTCCTGTGAGTTTCAATATCATTGATTTCGATTTGTGAGCATAGATTTATCATCCACATAACGTGATTGACAAGGTTTTATGTCTTCACATCTGTATCTTGGAAAAGATCTCTCCTTTGTTGGTCTGGGTTGAATCTTCTGCAGTTTCACGAAGTCAATACTTAATAAATTTACAGCCGGCGTAATTAGGTAGTTGTGGTCACATCACTGTCTTGGATTGATGAGTAGAGTTATGGATACCATCTTCTTTTCTGGTTATCTTCGTATCCACATAGGAGATAATGCGTAAAACGTACAATTTGTGGAGCATACTAAATAATGATGGGCGCCATCGCGAGGAAGACATGAGGTGGTGGCAAGAAATGGAGAGGAACTTCCCTATTCCTGTTTCATTCTCCCTCTCTCCGCATGTCACCTATAAGAGGAGGGGAGAGAGAGAGGAAGACAATTGGAGGAATTGTTCGAGGAATTTTATATCTCCATGAAGATTCAAGGCTTAGAGTTAAACATCGTGATTTGAACGTTAGCAATATCCTATTAGATGACAATATGAATCCAAAAATATCAGACTTCGGAATGGCAAAAATGTTAGGAGTTGATAATCAAACTTACGGAAACACAACAAGAGTTGTCGGCACTTAGTATGTTTCAACTTGTATACCCCGTACCAAACTGCTAATCTCAAATTTTTTTTTTTTGTTTATTTGTTCTTTCTTTATAATTATGTGATATGATGCACTCTATATGCAAAATGTATGTACAGGAAACTTTTACTTTGTCATCTCCTAATATGCGATTGTATTAACTTTTGATATGCAAGTGGCTATATGGCACCAGAATATGCTATGGACGGATTGTATTCCACAAAGTCTTATGTCTTTAGCTTCCGAGTACTCTTGCTTGAGATCCTAATAGGGAGAAGAAATTTTTTTGGGGTTTCATGACTGTGCACCTACTCTTGTAGCATATGTAAGTGTTCAATTAGTTGGGTTGGGTTTTAAAATTAATTGCACAACATATGTAAGTGTTCAAATATACATTGATCCTTGAAAGGTATTAACTCCGGGATTAATTGCAGGCTTGGCAGTTGTGGAACGAAGGGAAAGGGTTGGAGTTAATGGAGCCATTGTTGAAAGAATCATGCAGTCCAAATGAGTTCTTGCGATGCGTCCATATTCGATTGTTGTGCGTTCAAGAGGACGCAAGCAAAAGGCTAACTATGTCGTCGGTTGTTATAACTTTGACAACTGAAACTATTAGTCTTTCCAAACCTGAGCGACCTGCCTTCTTTACAGGAAGATGTATTATTGATCAAATTAATAGGTGCTCTTAGTTGCTCTGCCTTCTTTATAAGTGATAAATCATTGTACAATTAGGAGATACTTTTCTAATTCTTTACTGTATTTAATTCCTTGTATAACCCTCATGTAAACTCTTATATAGACTTCTTTATGAAGAAGAATAAACTTAACCTAATACATTCAAACCATATTCACATTTTTGCAAAAACTACATTATGAGATGTTACAAGCTGAAGGCTGAGCTTATAAATTGAGCTAATTAACTAACACAGATTACGTCTAAGACTAACTAACAATGAACCTACGTGAATACACATGAAGGCTAGCCAGCTCAGCAAACTTAAGCAGTAAAAAATCTAGTCAGCAGTCCTCCACTTTGACTTCTGTTCTCACTCTGGACAAGGTGCACAAGAATTTAAGAATGAGGTTGTTTTGATTGCCTAGAAGGAGAATAAAAACCATACTTGTTGTCTCTATGAATACGCGTGCCCAAAGATTTTGCTTGGAAGGAGAAGAACAGATCATATATACTTGTCTATGAATAGTGAAAGGAAATTGCAAGATTAAGGAAAGTTCCCGATTTTAGGGCAGAAAGTGATTCCATATTGTATTAAAAAATGATAATACTTCTCCAAAGGTCTGAGACCCCTAGCTTTCATCCTCTTGATGGAGTGCTCTCAGACTGCAGAAAGTTTGTAGAACAACTTGGATATTGTGGTGTAAATCATGTTTACCGTGAACAGAACTGTGTGGCTGACAGTCTAGCGCAGGCGAGCTACATCGGTGATCTGGCTGTATGCCCTCTTGACTCTGCTCCATCTTGGATTGGCACCTTATTAGCTGACGACGTGATGGGGGTCTCTAAGACCTGCTGGATTTCTTTTGATAATAGTTTGGTTTGTTTGTTGCAGGGGCCCTGCCCCCCTACTCAAAAAAATAAAAAATAAAAAATAAAAAAAGATAATACTTCCCTCCTTGCCCATAAGAGCAAGTCCAGCGAGCAGCCTAGCCCAAAGGCAGCTTCCGCCCAGGGGAGGTATGGGACCCACCAACCCGGGCTGGTCCGAAGGCAGCTTCCGCCCGATGTCCAAAATGAGGGGGGTGACGTCACCTCGACGTCAGCCTGACGTCGAGCACGCGGCAGTCAATTACGCGCCAACGGTAAAAAAAATTTGAACCAGCGTGCGCTGATGTCAACGTGACACAGATCTAACGGCTGGAAGCCACATGGCACGCCCCCAACACTCCGATTTGCTTCTACAGCCTTCATCCAATGGCTGGCCGTTTTTCCAGCAATAAAATTATGAAAAAAAATCAAAATTATAAAAAAAAAAAAAAAAAAAAAAAAAAAAAAAAAAAAAAATTTCTGATTTTTTTTTCCCTATAAATACCTATAAATACCCTTCACTTTCAACACCAATTCTCATACATTTTATTCTACTTCTACTATTACTCAACATTTTATTCACTCGTCACTCAACATTTTCATCTCTTTCACCTTGTATTTTTATTTCTTATTTTTATGGCTTCTTCTATCGAAACCGGAGGGGCGTGGAGCACCATGGAAGATGTTTCTTTGTGTGAAGCTTGGCTCCGAGTTTGTCATTGTCCCGTAACAGGCAATGAGATGAAATTTGTCCATAAAAAATTCTGGAGTCGACTCGTACGGAAATGACATTGTCGAGTAGGTGGAAACTTCTCAACAAAGAGATGACAAAATGGAGAGATGCCTTGACAAAAGCGATGAACTTGTATA